AATTGATACCTTAGAAAATTGTTTTAAACACTAAAGTAATCCAAGAAATTTGTTGTCACTAATTTTTTTTTCCCAGCATACACTCAAGGCATGGGTGTTTATTCCTTGATAATTAATACTATTTTTCTTCTTGAAAGGGATCGTAATGAGACGAGGCTGATTTCTTGTACTGTAGATTTGTTTCTTCACACTAATTATGATTATGTAACTGTTTTACATTACTATGTTGATTGTAGATTATACAAAGGCTAAATTTAGGTTGTCGCTATGTAATTTATTTCTTTGCTCTGATAAACATATTTTTAAATTATTGCAAAAAAAAAGTTTTTTACTTTGCCATTCTCGTAAATGTTTCTATTTTATTAGACAAAATCAAAATTCATGTGGTGATCTGATAACTGTATTTTAATAATTTATATTTCTTTTAGCAAACATTGAAATGTCTGTATTGTCAGTATTGTTACATTGAATTATTTACTAGTAATAAATAAATACTGGTACACACTTTGACAGCTGTTTCCTTTTTATTTTATAATTTTATTATGGCCTACTGATATAGACACTGATATCAAGTACAAAGGGGGGGGGGGGGTCTGAGAAAGTAACGTCAAGGCAACCAGTTGCAACTTTCATTTATCATGTAGTGTGTGTATGTAGGTCTACTCTACTTCATCTACCCAAGTAATATCGTTCATTACAATAAGAACGTGTGCAGTAATAAAATATGTGCTTGTGCATTTCTATAATATAATAATAGTAGTGTAGTAACAGTATTAAATATTAATAATTCGTTTTACAATAACTAGATCTAGTTTTATTTTAAACCTACATTAATTTTTTTTTTGTACATGGAGCAATAAGTCAATATGTTATGAGGCTGACAATGGCATGTAATTACTCATTCAAATCACATCCAGTCCAGTATAACTTAGGCTTTAAGTAGTTTAAGCTTGATTATAATTTTTTAGTTTTTCAAAAAATGCGAATCCCGGATGATGCAATAAAATTATAATTTTTTAATTTTTCGAAAAATGCGAATCCGTGATGATGCAATGAAAAAACCATCGGTGCCAACTTTTTTGTTTATGTAACATTGACTTGAATGACGAAGGTCTAAGCTGTTTTAGCCACGCCCACAAATTTTTAAAAGGCCATATCTTAGCTCCTAATTAAGCTAGAGACACAAAATTGGTATCAATGTGTAGGGAAAAAAATACTGTTTTTTTGTGGTATAATTTTATTTGAAATTAGTGGAGTTTAAAAATTACGAGCAACAGCCTAATAATATTTATAAGTTTATTGAGTTTATTTTCTTTTCAGCAAGTACCTTCAGCGTCCTCAGGCGATGAGAAACTAAACTGTTTAATACCAAAGGGTGGAGTGTTCACTGAAATTAAGTTTGTCATACATCACCAATATAGCCCAACGTATAAAGTTTATGTTGGGAATGATTTGTGTAATAGCACCCGCATACGTCCAGTGTAAGCAAATTCAATCGCGGGCTATGTTTTATGTTAGCTATTTTATAATGAACAATTTCTTATAGTATCACAAGGAAAAAACGATTACTTGAAAATATAAATATGACAGCAAATAACTATATTTTGGTTATTTGCGTGCCACATGACAATACTTATGTTGAAATTCAGGCATAACTTATGAATACATGTTCCCCTAAATCATAGACGATTGCGTTTATGAGAATAGCTTCATGTTTTTTGTATACACATATCTGTTTAGACATATGAGACCTCTTCCACCACCCACCCCCTCTCCTCATTAAAAGATGGTGCATTGCTTATAGGCCAATCTATCTCTCCTCTATAGATGAAGTTGTAATTTTTATTTTACATAATAAACTTATCTTTAACAATAAAGCTTACAGGATTTATTGTTCTAGACATGTTTTTAAATCAGAAATAAAACAGAGTGCACCATTCCCCGAAAGCCATTCACAGAGATAACAACAGTGCCAGTTAAAGTTCAGGTCAACAACCTAACACGCTACTGTAAAGACAACTTTACATTTCAACCAGATCCAAAGTTTGAAAGGATAGCACCAAAGGCAGCAATACTTAGGTATTGTAGCACAGCACGTTTTATTGTAACTTTTACAACTTAGGCTTGCTTGCATATAATACTTTCAATTTAAACTATCTAACGATCGTGGACGCATCATATATACACCCAAAAAGTATATGAGTGGCTATCATTGTGTGTTGCATTGTGTTATATGGGATTTAATTTTAATTAACTCTGATTTTGTGGGGTTTTTTTTTGTTTTTGTTTTTCCTTTTTAAAATAACTGCTTTTAGAATGGGTTGACACTACCTAATCGTGCACTTGTTTACCTTTTTTAATATAAAACTGAAGATTCGGGTTTTGAATAGTTTCTAAGGGAGATGTAAAACGCTATATAACTCCAAGTGGTGTGATTCCATAATTTTTTACTTTCTCGTATATACGAAGTATAGAGAAAGTCTTGTAATCGTGCAAAAAAAAAAATCGAGATTTTTACAAATCTCGACGTTTTACACCTCACTGATACGGAAAAACATAATTTTGCAATCTTGTCCGTATGTCTGTGTGTCTGTGTGTGTGTGTGTCTGTCTGTCTGTCTGTCCGTGTGTAAACACGATAACTTGAGTACCGTTACAGCTAGGTTGATGAAATTTCATATATAAGTATTTTATCAAAATCGTAGATCGGTTTCAACTTTTGAGCGATTTCCGATAACCGGAAGCGGTACTTTTCCTACTTTGAATTTTTCAAAAGCCTATAACTTGAGTACTATTTCAGATAGATAAATGAAATTTCACATGTAAGTAAAACATCTAATTCTCTACCTTCTGTTAAATTTTAAGTAATTTCCGTTGACTGGAAGTAGTAATTTACGCTACTTCCGATTTCTCAAAAAACTAATGTAAATTTTTAAAGTACTAATAATATTGCGCACTATTATACGCGTTTTTATTTGGCGTTCACTTGGTGTGCAATTAATCTGTCTACGAGATTTTATTCTATTTTTAAAACTTTAAGTATTTAAAATGGATTAAAAATCATGTCTATAGCCCGAGTTCCCATCCCTTGTTATTTTATATAAGAATATTCGAGAAAGTTTAGGGGAGATCACTCCCGGTTTATTTTTCAAATACTTTTATTCTAGTACTAAAATGTGTTGTGGGTTGTGTGGTGTGTGGTGGAAGTCCTAAAATGCTGATAAGTATGGTTAGTTTATGGGAATATTGTATACTGCTACAAATAAGGTAGGGGTGGGTCTAACTACCTTCTGTTACATAATTTGTGACGTGTATTTGTCCAAAATGTTAATAAACCCAAATTATGTTTATTCCACACATTTATGCTGATCCTGAGTTCATTACTGACTTCAAACAGTCACTTAGTTTTATTATGTTTAATCCATCTAAATACGGACAATCAAGAGATGTTTTATATAAAGCAACTACAGTTTCAAAATTTAAATAAGACAACATTTGCTGACTGGACTTTTTGTTTTCCATTATTTTGTCATAAGTGGAGGGACTTACATCACTATCTTTGGTACCAATCTTGAAGAAACCGATTCGACAAAACCGGTGATTAACATCACGGTTAACGGAACTCCAGTACCGGTACGTGCTAATTTAAAATTTTATAATTGCAGATTTTCATTCGAATTAATTAACGTCTGAACATTTTTTAAATTGATATTTATTTTATCGTTTAAAAAACAAAAAAAATATCAGGTAACTGGAATTGTTCCTTATAGTGAGTGGGGTAATATACGTTTCTAGAATGTACATATGCACGTCATAACTAAAATTTCTGTTTTGTTTTAGGCTGATCTGTCTAAATGGTCTACACCTAAAGACGGAAACAATAAAATTCAATGGAGAACTTTCAAAAGTCCTAACCTGAAGATAAAGAGTAACACAGAAGATGTGATACTCAGTGGAAAGTCTTATCTAAGTATCACCTGGGCTCATGTGGAGAAAATAGAAGATTTTAAAATACATCCAGACCCGGAGCTGTTTAACCAGGGGCTTACAATAACAACTAACAATGACAATAACAGTGTTCTGGTCATACAGGTGGGTCAGTCGGGGTAATTATGTCAGTCTATTTAGGTATTGTAGGTAGATCTGTGTGGTTGTTATAGTTCAGTCTATTTGAGTATATATGTAAGTCTGTTTGGGTATTGTAGGTCAGTGTTGGTGGCTACTAAAAATCAGTCTGTGTTGCTACTATAGGTCAATCTGTGTGGCTACTATAGACTTTATTTCTTTACAAGCATCGGTTATCATCAAATCACAAAAAAGACGTACTTAAGTATTATGATGAAAATAAATAAAATCAACCTTTTGGTCTTAATCATCGTCACATGTTTCTAAAATTTGAAATAATTAAAACCCTTGTTGTGTGTGTGTGTTTTTTTTACTGTTTTTTTTTAATTGAAACGGTTTTAATAATTATTCAAAGCTCAATGATCATAATGTAATGTGAATACAATATGTTTGGCAGGGTAGGAACATCCCAACGTGGCTAGACAAAAACGAAATCCAAGTTAATGTGGGGAAAGTTTCGTGCAACGTTCTGGGCTTGACCAAGAAAACCATCACATGCAACGCCACGTCCATTGTAAACAACATTGAGAACAGCTGCAACACAAGCAGCACCAACCAAACGTATGTAAATGGAACTACCACTTCTGAGATGATTTCGGTTGGAATTACAGAGCCTGCAATGAGACCGGATGCTTCTAATAAAAACACAAGTACACGAGCCTCAACAGTAAAACCTAATATTGATTATGAAACCTACGACTGCATTCCCCTTGGATTAAATTTAATACTAAGCAAAGAACGCACGGTACTTAATGGATTTATCGCAGACATAGAAGTTGAAATTGGAAACTTCAAAAAGACTTTTCCAAAAGTTAAGATTGTCTTTACCCACATTACGGTTGAAGACAATTCGAACACAGCCATCATCATTAGCGTCATCACGATCGTCGCTGTGGTTGTCCTAGCTCTTGTGGTTTATTTTCGAATTTCACGTTGGTTACAGGCTAAAAAATACGCCAGCATGAATGATCGGGAAGAAGGTTTGTTTATTATACGAATGTTGTCTGGATTGTTTAGAGTTTACCCCCAGATTATAATATGTTTATTTTAATTTGAACGTGACTGTGACAGTAACAGATTTAGGTTTAGACAAAACACAAGGTTTAGCCTGACTTTTCTTTTTCAAAGCAAACAGTTAAAAGTTATCTTTTCTTTTAATCAGCGGGATTTTTAAAAATTAAGTCAAAGAGGACGACCAGGAGAGATGTTAAACCATTGTTAAATCACTGCTTTAATCATTGTTAAAAATAACACTTGTGTCGAGTTGCTGGGTACTATGTTGAAAAATTGTAGAATACATAAAATACGAAGATATAGAATGTCTAACGTGTTTACTAATTGAACCCTGGGAAGTGGGAGAGGGGTTGATTCGTAACAAAGAAAGTAAGGCGATATATGGTATAGTTATAAGTCCTGTAAGTCCACCCAACTCTGGTGGGTACCTAACTCACGTTAGGGAAAGTAAAGGCGGCTGGGCATAGTGCTGACCACACTATCTCTTTGTATGCCGAGGTCACAGAAACTAGTGAACCCTACTAAACTTGCCCTATAGACCGATAGGTTTGAAAAGGGAACTTTACTTACTTTACTTTACTATAAGTCCTGACAAGCAGATTAAAGAACAGATGCTCTTTATAACTTTCACTTGTAATCAAACTAATCATCTGTTCAATTTTCCACAAAAGAATCTAACTAGATACGAACGCAGAAATTTTCTAATCTTTTGTTGTAGTGTTTGTATTGGTAGCCTACACTCCCGTTTAGTGTCAAATATTTTACTCATTAAATTTGAACATAAATTTACGTAGTAGGCTCTAATATTTATAATTCAACATACCAAACATGTTCATTTTTTGTCTTCATGAAGAAATCGATTTTATCGGGTAGTTTAATTATATTTAAATGGTTGAAGTTAATTTTTGTATTTGTTTGAAGGTAAACTTTCGTTGGCCCAAATTCTGGAGTCTACTGTAGAGCCTAACAAAAGAGCGGATATTGACAAGTTGATTATTAAACTGGACCGTCTAACTGTCGGGAAAACCATTGGAGAAGGTATGGTTCGGTACATCTTTCTAGTTAGTAGAAAATCCAAGGGAGATGGGGTGGGGGTGGAGCTGTCCATAGTACATGAGCTAGTTAACTGGAGCGTTACGAACAAGATACACGAACCTCCACATCCAAAACTGTACTAGGATGCAACTATATGATGGAGGGGGAGAACCGACAGGTCACAGCAACTGGCAACAAGGGCGCGAGAAAAACATGCTTGTACATCCTGTTGGATGGCGTGGCCTAGTGGTAGAGCGCTAGACTGATAACACGAAAGTCTTGAGTTCAAATCCGGGTTCAAGTCAGTGGATCGTCCCTGAGTCCTCCCATTTATGATGGGTACCTAACTTAGGGAAAGAAAAGGCGGCAAGATATAGCGCTGACCCCTTCATATGCCGTGGTCAAGAAACATATGAACTCTAATTCATCTGCTAGGTCTGAAAAGGAAGTTTTACTTAACTTAGTTTTACATCCTGTTGCAGTTTTAAGTTAACTGGCAGAAGATAAGTGGGTCGGGGGATATTTTGAGGCTCTTAAAACAAAATATTTTTACAAGAAAACTATTTCTGAGACATTATATAATTAAACAAATATTACTAACCATTTATTAGTTACTTCTGATTGGTCAAGCCTCTCACCACCATGGTCACTTCGTTCCACAACTAAAAATGTGCACCAGCAGCTTAATCTACACCTACTTGAAAATTTACTGAACGTTAAATATAGCTTTTATCTGACCATTCTTTTCAAATTGTATGCCAAAATAGGAGATTAAACATACAAACATTATGAGATGTGATTGTTTAGAAATGCGAGGGTGTAGCGATGGCACGATAACTAATGAGAAATGTCACAGGTTATTATGTTGTAATGTCGCCTGTGTATTGTCGAGTTATTGTGTCGTAAAGGGGTCGTCCATAATTGAAGTCACACTTGTAGGGGAAGGGGGGGGGTAGCGTAAATTTGTAACGACATTTGATTAGGTAGAGAGGAAGTTCGGGAAATGTTATGTCACACTTTTGCATTTAAAAAAAAAGTAATGTTAGAAACTGAATTTTAGTCTTTATTTCGCGTTTAAGAAAACTGATTAAATAAATGCAATAGAAATTAATAAAATACTCCATGTTGACCGAGCTCAGTCAATATTTTAGAGGGGAAAAAATATTTGTTTTGATAAAAAAGTTCATCTGCAATTTAGATGGGGGGTCGTAGTTTTAGGTGTGACGTCATTTTAGGGGACGTAGTGTGACGTAGGGTAAGGGGAGAGGGGGAAAATGTTGGGGGGGGGGGGGGGGAATGTGACATCATTTATGGATGACTCCATGGGCATTAATGTAATGCCGTGTTGTTGTGTAGTAATGTCACCCATGTTTGTACCAGGAAACTTTGGGTGTGTGTTCGTGAGTAGTAATGTCACCCATGTTTGTTCCAGGAAACTTTGGGTGTGTGTTCGTGTGTAGTAATGTCACCCATGTTTGTACCAGGAAACTTTGGGTATGTGTTCGTGTGTAGTAATGTCTCCCATGTTTGTACCAGTAAACTTTAAGTATGTGTTCGTGTGTAGTAATGTCACCCATGTTTGTACCAGGTAACTTTGGGTGTGTGTTCGTGTGTAGTAATGTCACCCATGTTTGTACCAGGAAACTTTGGGTATGTGTTCGTGTGTAGTAATGTCACCCATGTTTGTTCCAGGAAACTTTGGGTGTGTGTTCGAAGGTTTTCTCGTCACCGGAAAAGGTTCTGTGGGGGTCAAGGTCGCAGTAAAAACATTACAGGGTGAGTACAATTCAAGTGAACTTAAACTAATTTACCTCTTCCCCCCCCCCCTCATAATATTTAGAAAATCTTTCTCGTCCTGTTATGCACAAAATCATCAACCCCATATATGTACAAAATCATCCTTCCCATATAAGTAACAATAAATTCCCCCAAAATATGTACAAAATCATCCTCCCCCAAATATGTACAAAATCATTCTCCCCAAATATGTACAAAATCATTGTCCCCAAATATGTACAAAATCATCCTCCCCCAAATATGTACAAAATCATCCTTTTTCATTTTTAGCCCCCTCGGCATTTCCATACATCTACGACAACATTCCATATGAATCAACTAATTGTATCGGTTTGTTTCTCCCCCAAAGAATCCGTGTCTCAGAGTATGGACCTGAAGGGTTTTGTCCAAGAGGCCGTAATGATGCGAGAGTTCCAACACCCCAACGTCCTGGGACTGGTTGGTTTGTCAGAGAAAGAGCCGGGCGTGCCCTACGTTGTGCTGCCTTTTATGGAGAACGGTGACCTCTTGACCTACGTCCGTGACCCTGATGTGGTAAGATGGATCACTTGGTTTTGCCTGTCTAGTTTATTTACCATGAGGCGATTGTCCAGAGTGCTCTATCCAACGATCGAACACTTGCCTTGATTTGTAATACAGAAAATTACAAATTCTAGTCCCACAATTATTTAACATATAAATCTACTACTTCATCATCTCATCTTTACTTTTTTGTTCGCTTAAGTCTTTATTATAAAAATAATGTAGGAAAAACAAACACATATTATATTCATTCCCATGTATATAAAACATGCAAATATTCGTATCTATTCCACCAGCAACTAACTCTACATGACGTCATCAAATTTGGAGCTGACATTGCAGACGGCATGGCGTACTTAAGTTCCCTGAAGTTTGTTCACAGAGATCTGGCAGCGCGGAACTGTATGTGAGTTGGTTTTCTTTGAGTAGGCTGTAGGTCTCTTTAATCTAACGTTTTACTTAATTGTATGTGAGTTGGTTTTCTTTGAGTAGGCTGTAGGTCTCTTTAATCTAACGTTTTACTTAATTGTATGTGAGTTGGTTTTCTTTGAGTAGGCTGTAGGTCTCTTTAATCTAACGTTTTACTTAATTGTATGTGAGTTGGTTTTCTTTGGGTCTGTTGTAAATATCTTTTACTTAACACTTTACTTAACTGTTTGTGAGTAGGTTTTCTTTGGGTTTGTTGTAAATATCTTTTACTTAACACTTTACTAAACTGTTTGTGAGTAGGTTTTCGTTGGGTCTGTTGTAAATATCTTTTACTTAAAACTTTACTAAACTGTGTGTGAGTAGGTTTTCTTTAGGTCTGTTGTAAATATCTTTTACTTTCAACTTTGCTAAAATGTTTGTGAGTAGTTTTTCGTTGGGTCTTGCGTAAATCTCTTTCACTTATCATTTCGCTAAACTGTTGGTGAGTAGGTTTTCGTTGGGTCGGTTGTTGATGTAACACGAACTAGGTCATGGACGTCACGTGTTCCATTCAGTTCGAGGCTCCACTTGAAACATTCGTAAACTAATTTTAAAATTGAATTAATGATGAATATTTTAAACAAGCTAGCGGGTCCACTTAGACAGGCCACGACAAGGGAGGTAAACGATTTTAAAACAATGCTGCATTATCCCCCTTTGAGTGGTGAGTTTTGACACGTTTACGCAAGCCAATAAGCACGCGATGTTTGTGTGATGATAATAATAGAATCATCGCGATCTACATCCCTGTGTCAAATTTGGACACTTATCTAACGTTTGACGTATGAGGGGTTTTTTTTTGTTAGTACCACTCAACGATTGGGTGTATCTTTCAATGTTAGGAATTTTTTTTTTCAAAAAAAAAAAAAATTAAAAATGTCTAGTCAAAATAGTAGTATCATTTTCGGTGGAAGTATTGGTATATCCTTAATACTTAGAACTACTATAGATAGATACAATCTTATTTGTCGACTCTTCAGTTAAGCCTTTGTATTCTGACGGATGTCCAAATACTTAATTTAGTAGCTACACATTTTCAGAAGTTGCTTGTTTTTTTTGGGGGGTTTTTTTGTGCTTTTTTTTTGTTTCTTTGGGGGTTTTTTTTTTGTTGTTTTTTGTTTGTTTGTTTTTAGCGGGGGAGGGGGGAAGGGGGGATTGCGTGTTGTGTTGAGACGACAATCATTTTCTATCTATATTTTACTTCAATGCCCTAAACAGAGTTCGAACAATCTACATGCATAAGTTTCAGTGGCGGAACTAGAAAAAAGGGGCCACCCCGCAAAAAATTTTTTTAGCCCCCCCCCCCATATAAATATTTAGGCCTATATATATATATATATATATATATATATATATATATATATATATATATATATATATATATATATATATATATATATATATATATATATACTCAAACATAAAATACGAACAAGGATACTTATTGCTGGCCTGTTCGTGTTTTGAGAAATACATGGGTTTTTTTTTATATTGAAACAAATTACAACATCATGTCATGTGTGTAAGTTCATTAGTCTGTTATGTGAAAATCAGTTTTATATTAAGTTTGCCGTAAGGCCTCTAATAACATACCGGTCAAAAAGAATATAAAACATGAAAGCTTTCTGTAAATAATGGTGTCTCGTGTCATGTTTATTTTTATGTTTTTTTTGTATTTATTTTATTAATTTTAAATACATTTTCTTTTTGTACAGTGTCATTCTTTAATAAGTAATTTATAAACAAATAATAATAAAGAGAAGTAATTGCTATTTAATTTATTTAGTACAAATCTATTAAAAAGAGGCTTATGAGCATCACTATTTGACTTTTTAAAAAAGGGAAATAAGTCATTGAAGTGGTTTGAACGTTTGCTTATCTTTGATAAGTTTGATTGACAGTGGTTTAAAAACGAAGGAAAAATTATCGTGGGATGGTGTCTATAGAATAAAGATAATCCAACCGCAGCTACGGTAATCTTTTTTACAAAACAAACATTAAGTCAAAAATGCAAGAAATTTTTTTTTTCACTATACATTTTTTTTTATGTTCGGCCGTGGGCCCCTAAATGGTGTGCCCCCCCCCCCCCCCCCCCGCATTGCGGGGTCTGGCGGCACTGTAGTTCCGCCCCTGAAAGTTTAACACCTATGTGCCTTTAGATTCGTTCCACTCAATCCATACACTCTCTACACCAAATTGTTACACAATGATGTTTTCACTTTAAAATAAAAATGATATCGTAACTCAGATGCTAGTTACTGTTGCTATCTGCAGGCGATGATTAGAATTAAGCGATGGTTGTATAGTGTTTATAATGAATATGTACTGCTATTATTCATCAACGGATAACCAATATGTATTTGTATAGGCTGGACAGTGTCCATCGCGTGAAGGTGGCCGACTTTGGTCTGTGTCGGGACATCTATGAGAAGGGCTACTACACCAGCGACAACAAAAAGCAACTGCCCATTAGGTGGATGGCTATAGAGAGTATAGAACATGGGGCTTACAGTACCAAGTCAGATGTTGTAAGTATGGGGCTTACAATAACAAGTCATATGCGACTTACGTTACAAAATTCGATATGGCAAATATATACGACCTACACAGCCTATAGCATATACATATATATATATATATATATATATATATATATATATACGTGTGAGTATGTGTGGTGAGTGGTGTATGTGTGTGTGTGTGTAACATTTTCTTTTGAAACCTGCAGTGGTCGCTTGGTGTGGTCCTTTGGGAGATGTTGACAAGGGGAGTAACTCCCTACCCTGGTGTTGACGGCTGGGACATCATCAACTTTTTACGGCGTCGACGTCTGCCTGCCCCTTTCTTCTGCCCAGACGAGCTGTAAGTTCCAGACTTATTTTAGCAATACTTCCTTTTGTCGCATTCTGTCACATTACCACTGTCACATTACCATTGTCACATTACCACTGGCGCATTATCCTCTGAGAATTTGTGCACACCTCTCTGAAACCTTTAATACGCCCTTCTTTTTGAAGCTTTTAACACGCCCCTTTTTTTTAACTTTTATCACGTCTTTCTGTTGTAAGGTTATTTCTCCAGTTAACCCTCCACATGACTGATGATGTGAAATTGGTTCTTTCGAAATCCCGGATGATACCAATGTTTAACTACTATTTTTGCTAATTTCCAGGTACTGTCTCATGATGCAGTGTTGGGCTAAAGACCCCAATTTGAGACCCACTTTTAAAGCTCTGCACCTTGAACTACAGCTTCTGATTGGGCAAGACTCTTTACTGCCATCCACACCCAAAATAAACAAGAAAAACCCCGAGAAGTGCCCGGATTTACAAACATCAAATCTCCAATCGAGTAAAACACCGGGTGCTTCAAAAACCGAAACCAAATCGGAAATTCCCAAGGGGATTCCCGAAACAATTGTTGAAGCAAACGGCGAAATGACAAAAGTTCATTACGAGAACACTGCAAGCTGCATGGGGGAGCGAACTTTGACTGTTCCAGCCCATAACGCCCTGCCTGATACAACGATCACGATCCCAGAATGCTATTCGGACAGAGAAGTCAGCGGCACCACCGTTAAGAAATTCCACCGTCTTGTCGACAACTACGAAACCGCCCCTGATTTTAAAAAAAAGACGAACAAACCCACGAAAAAAACGAGTTTTACTTCAGTCAACAGAAACAGCTCCTTGTTGGAGAGACTCGCCCCCGGAAACGGCGGGGTTTGTGAGGGCGGCGGCGTAGCTTTGACCCAAGACAGCGCGTATTTTATGCTAGAGAAGGCCACGGACGACGACTCGTGTGCCGCTGATTCGGCTCTACAGAGAACACAGAGTCTGATGGAGGGCAGTAACAGGGCCAGAGTCAGCACCAATAGACTGAGCTTGACCGTGTCGAATATTTACGTGTGAGTTGGCTAGACACTTATAGACAAGCTTGGCTAGACAGTTCTAGACAAGACAAGAGACAGCACCAATAGACTTAGCTTGACCGTGTCGAATATTTACGTGTGAGTTGGCTAGACACTTCTAGACAAACTTGGCTAGACACTTCTAGACAAACTTGGCTAGACACTGCTAGACAAACTTGGCTAGACACTTCTAGACAAACTTGGCTAGACACTTCTAGACAAACTTGGCTAGACACTGCTAGACAAACTTGGCTAGACACTTCTAGACAAGACAATAGACAGCACCAGTAGATTTAGCTTGACCGTATCGAATATTTACGTGTGAGTTGGCTAGACACTTCTAAGCAAACTAGGCTAGAAAGTTCTAGACCAACTTGACATGACACTTCTAGACAAACTTGGCTAGACACTTCTAGACAAACTTGGCTAGACACTTCTAGGCAAACTAGGCTAGACACTGCTCGACGAGCTTGGCTAGACACTTCTAGACAAACTTGGCTAGACATCTCTAGACAAACTTGGCTAGACACCTCTAGACAAACTTGGCTAGACACTTCTAGACAAACTTGGCTAGACACTTCTAGACAAAATTGGCTAGACACTTCTAGACAAACTTGGCTAGACACTGCTAGACAAACTTGGCTAGACACTTCTAGACAAACTTGGCTAGACACTTCTAGACAAACTTGGCTAGACACTTCTAGACAAGACAATAGACAGCACCAATAGATTTAGCTTGGCCGTATCGAATATTTACGTGTGAGTTGGCTAGACACTTCTAAGCAAACTTGGCTAGAAAGTTCTAGACCAACTTGACATGACACTTCTAGACAAACATGGCTAGACACTTCTAGACAAACTTGCCTAGACAGTTCTAGGCAAACTTGGCTAGACACTGCTCGACGAGCTTGGCTAGACACTTCTAGACAAACTTGGCTAGACACTTCTAGACAAACTTGTATACCAATCAGCTACGTTTGAACACCGTACCGTCATAAGGCAAGGGTGGGGGTGCGGTTCGCGCCTGGGTGACACCATTTTGCGGGTGACATCAAATATAAAATTTAAAAATATAATGTTATAACAAAGTCTTGCCTTGTTAAACTAATGAAATGGTAGGGGCTGGGGTGGGGTGACACCATCATTTACAGCACCAGGTAACACCAGAACTAGTGACGTCACTAGATACACCTACTTTTGAAAAGTAAAATTGTGGTGTGCTATTATTATTCAGATAACGCAGTCTTAATTTAATCTAACAGAAATGCTGTTTTTATAATGACCAAATACGTATGTACTAGCTGAAAGATAAATCGACTAAGCTTTGACTAACTTTACGTGTATATGTTTAAAATGTCTTACAGTTTATTTACATAATTTATTTTCAAATGCAATAGCTAATTTTAATTTAATGTACGTGAATTCTAAACTTTAAACTGATGAGTTCGTTTTTACCTGTCTTTGTTTATGCCTGAATTTTTTTTTATTTTCCTGCATACCTTTAGTGTCAGAATGGATTTTCTGTATTTAAATTGACGCAAGTAGCCACTTAATTAATTGTCATAAAAACTAGTTATAGCTCTAGCTAGCATGCGCGAATTATTTTTATGTTATAAACAATTTACAAATACTAAGTATATTTAGGCTAAGAATAATAAATATGGCCCCAAAATCAATCCCCACAACACTCTGACTCTACTAATCCAAATTAAAAATAAAATTGTTTGCTAAATTACTTTTATATAACTAGTAATTATTCCTTTGACTATTTCTAGCCTTAATGAAACCGGAAGTAATTTTTACTTATTATACAAATGTTATAAATTATAAAATATTCATTTTTTTGGTTGAAGAATATGCTTTCTGGCAATACAAATTTGGAACCATTTGGAACCAGCTTTTCATGCCTATTGTATTTTAACATTAATGTGTTTAATTGTAATTATATTTTTTTTTGGCGTAAATTAAACATTTTCTGACTAGAGTTATATTTTTACATTAAAAAGTTTTTATTACTTTTGTTGTGTGAAAGGTAAAGCTTAACAGTTTAAAATTTTAAAAATTAGAATGAAATCCAAACTAAACTTGAAGGTCTTTGCTTTCAATATTTATTTTGTATCACGTAAACATTTTGTAATGTACAGTTAAATAAGTCTAAAGTATTGCACACCGCATTATATCTAGAAGGAAAGAAACAAAAAGTGAAGTATCCAACCAGACAGCCAATAGAGCACTGTAGAGGTCATCTGATTTTTTGGTCTCGTGTAAAGCTACAGTGTGGCCAGCGTTTTATCCAGCCATATTTACCCTGGCCAGGTACCCGGAAATGCTGGATGAACTCAGGGCCATCCTACGGCCTCGAGTTTTAGCCTTTTATGATTGTGTTCGTATGTTCTACCACGCGACCAAAGTGTCTTATCGCTCAATGCGTAGGCCTTAAGAATATAAACAAACAAAACACAGTAAACTATCATCCAAGCTTTTAAATAAATAACTATAACTAATAATAAATAAATAACTTTATACATATCTTTATGTTAAGTAATTATTCTTAGTTATTGATTGGGTTTTACCTCTTTAAACTGTTCAGGAACCTGCTGTTAAAGGTAGCTAGTTAGAACCTAACTTTACCCTGGTTCATTTATAGCCAGTATCATAATATATTACGTAGCATCTTAACCCAAACCCCAGGTTCATATATAGCCAGTATCATACTACATTACATAGCATCGTAATCCGTTATGTAGGCTATGTGACCTTAATCCTCAATAATCCAAAAATAGTTATGAATAAAAATGAGCAATATACTTTAATAATCAGGAACTCAATTATAAAGATTTAATCTTCAATATAAAGAAACCCAGTGATGAATAATTAATAGCTTAATTTTTAAATAACAAGAGATTAATCCTCTATATCCAGTATCTTAATCCCCTCGCCTTTGCAATCCTCACAGTGGCATTTACAAGTCCTATAATCCACGAAAGGCCAGTAGTTTCCCTTTATTGGAGTCAAATCAATCTTGTCCCAGCTATTAATACACAACCGTGCCTTAGCACTAACGAACAGATCATGGAGATCACGTGGTACCCCTAAACTGTTCATCTTGGAGCATCGATCTGTATCACTGTTGATTGATTTTAGAACGGCGATTGCTGACAAATGAAGAAGAGACCAGGGACTACTACGCACAAGTTTTAACAGCTCCATTCCCTTCTCGCTGAAGTTGTGCGTGGCCCTTGAGTCAGGAACTACGACATCCATGTCGGTTAAGAAAAAGTTGGCCAGGAAATATTTAGCGATGCGAGTTCTCCCATAATACAAAGCTGTTCTTAAAGGCGAAACTTTATTTAGTCGTTTCATCTTGTCTGCCCAGAGAGGTTTAGAGTTTTCTGCGACTGCGCCGTTGATGATCAACTTCCGGATTATACTCTCGTGACCGTCTTTCACTAAACAATGCAAATATTTTGGCGGGAAACGCCATATTCTAGGATTTGCTTGGTAATCTAAAATCAGGTGTAAAACTTCGAACTTGCAATGAACAAAAGCCGCCGCCATTAAAGAAGTGTCCCCATCAAATACTCCTAAATTTGGATTAGCCTTGTTCGCGAGTAAAATTTTCAGCTTGTCAAACATAACGTAAACAGACGGACCGTTAATGCTGTTGAGGGCTGTTTTACCAAACGAATCCCGTACATTGACGTTAGCTCCGTATAAGAGCAGCTTTTCCATCCCGAAACAGCTGTCGGAAGTTTCCCAATTGGCCAGCAGAATTAAAGACGTCCTCCCCTTCTCGTCCGTACAGTTGACGTCATGACCCTGATCGAGAAGATGTTTAAAAGAGGATTCGTCGGGGTCGCACGCGGCCTCAGCTATAATTTCTGCGTCATTGCGGTCTGTTTTTGTAGCCATCGTAGGGTAGGCAACTCTTGTTGAACTCTGAAGTAAAAATTAATTGAATGAACTCCCTTAGAAGTACTTCACATTATGACAAAGAGTTTTATTTGTTAATCAACAATCCACGTCTCCTGTTTGTTTGTTTTCTAGTTATAAAATCGCAGGTTGATGTTTACATGCAATTAAAAAAATGGCTGTTGATACCAGAGCTTGCCAATCGTTTGGTTTTACATAAGAGCCTGCAAAAAAAAAATGAAAATAGACCAATTGTACAAATCAAGAATTATTTTAATTTAACCATTTTAAAATTGAAGAGGCTATAGACATACGGCCCGTAAATATAGGAAAAACCATAAACGTATTATGTCTTCGGGTCGTCCAAAAAGGACTTCACGCATTTGTAGACGATCGTTAATCACATAGTCAGCCTACTCAACACCCTTATATATAGGCCTATATATCAAACGAAGATTAAAAAACACATAGCTAAATATTGTTGGGTTTAGAACTTTCGAAAGGTTTAAATTCCCTCCACCCCCCCCCCCCCACCTCCTCCACATCCTCCTCCCGCCTACGCCCCACACCTATATGTTAATCTTTTTCTCCAGATCGAAAATATCAGGCTTACAACTCAGTAGCGTAGCGAGGGGGGGGGGGGGGGGGGGGGGCGGGGGGGGACATATGTCCCCGGGCGCCGACCTTAGGGGGGGCGCCAAATTGAAAGTTTGAGGGGGGGTGCAAATGAAAAGTTCGAGGGGGGTGCAAATCGAAAATTTGCTCCCAAGGGGGCGCCAAATTGAAAGTATGTCCCCGGGCGCCTCTGTTACAACTTACATGGCATTGAAACACTCAGGCTGTTTAAGTGATGGATCTATCGTTGGGGAAAGAAACCCCATGAGAACCACTGACCGTAGAACATACCTTTTTGGATTCTCAAACTTTTCCCACAGGCGACCGTTTTAATCCGAACCAACATTTAGGTGATCTCAAGTTTATTTGCGAAAAAAAAATTAACAGGAATAAATTTAGGAATATATTCCTAAATATAATAGTTCATGACATACCCAACCCATCCAGTCCCTCTCCCCCCCCCCCCCCCCCCCCCCCCCATAATTTAGTAGTATGATCCCTTTAGTTAGCCCTTCACACTTCGAGAAACCCTGGTCTATAAAGACTTCCCCCAGTTTGCCGCTAATGTAACAGGTGAAAGACATACAGCACACTTCACAATGTATGAATAAAACATTGATTTTAGCACCTGGTCTTAGTTTCGATTTCTCTTGTTAGGAAACTCTACTTTCTTTGAACACATGATTACGGAAGTGGCTATTAGCTGGCAACGTTCTAAGAAGTTCTGGAATTTGATCTTTGTGTTGGCATTATCTACTTAACTTCGGGAACTTCGGCCTTCATCAATGGTCTAACCAGTAATGGGAATTTCGTATATTAATTCTGGAAAATAAGGCGCTTATGTAAGCTTAGCTAAGCATTAAAAATTAATTATTAAAATGTTATTAATTAAAACAAAATGTATTAGCTTGCTTAATAGGTATTTATGATTGAACAGCGCGTGTTGTTTATGTTATTCAAAAGCCAAATGTTCAATAATTAGCCTAATTAAAATACACTAATTAAAATACACTGATAACTTTAAAAATTTTCTGCGAGTATTTAGATACCAATTTAAAGAAAGTTTTTAAGTAGCCTAATACTACAAACATAACAGCAAGCTAATCCATCCCTCACGTTAATCCTTAGCCTACCTGTATATAAAACAAAGAATAGGCTAATCCACAATGTTTTCAGAAAATAAACAGCCGACCACAAGCAGTTCTATGGCACATAGGCCTATACATTGTATCTCGATCAAGCAGAACAGTTTCAGTATCGAGTGCCAGAAATAAAATGATTTCAACCTGAGACCTTTTATCAGGTCACCGGATTGATTGATCGCGATTTGGGCACACACACACACGACAGTGAGGGATTTTTTTATAGCACACGTCATTTTGGTAGAACTGGCTTTCCCGGGGAGGGCTTTTTAAATAACTTTTAATGGGTGGGAGGGTGTTGGTGGAAGTGGGGGGGGGGGGGGGGGGGGGTGACGGGACAGTTAAAAGTATCTATTATATAAGCGGGCTGAGCGTGTCCTTCCTTCCTTCCTTCCGTCCGTCATCGCTATAGATTTTGGGACTATAAAAGTAAACTGCGCACCACGCTGTGCTTTTCAGTGCACCGCAGTGTCTTATTATAAGTATTAGAGTATGGTTTGTTTATATAGCGGCATAGAGCTGTTTTATAATTGCCACGGTTTTTACTCTTTCGCATAACGTCAAGAAAATATTAAATACACGCAAACTGCTAAAACGTATTAAAAAGATTAATGTCAAATATCATTTTAGTTTATATTCCTAGAAAAAATGGATACATTTCCATAAAAGTAGGTCGAAAAAGCTAATTAATTCCACTTTTTTTTGTGGTAATTGTTTCAAGGGAGGTAATTTGAAAATATATTTAACTCAACAATAATTTAAGTTAATCTTTTTTTTATTACTACCGCATTGATTAGTCTATGTTAAGGTTCATAATTAAAAGAGAAAAATGTTAAGATTATTTATATTATTTTCTAATTAGTCTATGATTTCTCAAAATCACTATTTTTTGTTTTTGTTTTTTGGTGCTAACAGATGGTGAAATTTTATAATTATAATATAGAGAATGGTGGAAAGACTCTCTCTGGGCGCGGACGCCTGGGAAAAGCGTGATTTTCGGTGGTAATTCTAATTACATTGCCAATGTGTTTTCTTAGAACCATAAAAGTAAACACCACTTGCCGTACATTCATTTGCATCGCATTGTTTTATTGTAAGTTATGGAGTAGGATCTATTTATGTGACTTAAATTTTTAATGTTGGAAAGGGTCTCTTTGGGCGCGGACGCCTAAAAAGCGTGTTGTTTGGTGGTGATTCTAATGTTGTGGTTGTGTTGTTTTTTTTTTGGTTGTGTTGTGGTTGTGTTGTGGTTGTATTGTGGTTGTTTTTTGGTTGTGTTGTGGCTGTGTTGTGGTTGTGTTTTTGTTGTGGTTGTGTTTTTGTTGTGGTTGTGTTGTAGTTGTGTTGTGTTGTGTTTGTGTTGTGGTTGTGTTGTGGTTGTGTTGTGGTTGTGTTGTGGTTGTGTTGTGTTTGTGGTTGTGTTTTTTGTGTTTGTGTTGTTTTTGTTTGTTTTGTTCTGTTCCAAAGTTGGTACATTTAAAAAAGATTTACCGTGGCGGAGCACGGGATGCAGCTAGTAATTATATATCTATATAAATTTTTTTCTGTGTCCGATATGCTTAAAAGAATCACTGCTTGCTCGCAATGTTTATATTCAAATCTGTTCCGTTTTTAAATGTCCTTCAACAATGCGAAGAGTCAGTATTGATTATGCATTCCTTTTTCTGTTTTAGATCTCCAATTTGATAGTTGGTGTAAGGGGTCAACCACACAAGACAGCATGCATTTCCATCCCACTTCAACTCCACACCCTCTCGCCAGTCACAAAAAAACCAGCCACCTACCCCTGTAGCAAACTGTCTTCCAAGATTCCGCAAACCAATAATTTTTTTAATCGAACGGGTCGTTGTAGATAAGCATTGTGTGCTGTTTTTTCAATGGCCTCGCCTTACAGCACTTAGTTTCCCTAACGTAAGTTAGACAGGCTACCCATCAGAGCTGAGTGGACTCTGGGACTGACTTGAGCCAGGAATCCGAACTCGACATTCAGGCTAGCAGTGGTAAGCTCTACCATTCGACCACACCGTCCCCATCAGATGTTTACCAATGTACAAGAGTTACTGTTCATGAAACGTGTGACAAAACCTTTTGCCCATTGTTTTTTAACTTGTACACAGATACCCACTCTTCATATGCCGAGGTGACAGAAACAGGTGAGCTCTACTTCACTTGCCCCATAGACCGTCAGGTTTGAAAGGGAACGTTACTTACTTTACTACAGATACCCAATCTCCCTTAGCATGGAACTACTATATAAAATACACTAAATAATGTATCCAGTTGTATAAAAACTTTAACCAGTCTTTAACTGGTATGTGCCCAATCATGACCTTGATTCAATAGGCAAGGATATGTTTAACTATATATATGGAAACTTTCATACTTATGAATAAATTAAATACATGTTAATTTAAAAAAAAATGTGTTAACATTTTTTTTTAAAATAAAATGACATCACATTCATAAGTCACACAATAAATGAACAGAGACAAAAGTCTATCAAAAAGTACTCAGTTTAATAATTTACTATAGCATGACAGATCAAAAATGTCAACAATTCAGAACCACAAAGAAAAACATCAAGGTAAAAACTTGAGGGAAATAAGCTAGCATTTATATGGAAATAATTCTGTTAAATCACACAAATTAAGATACTAGCTTTCACCAAAATAGTTTCATAACTGTTCAGACTACAGAAAAAAAAATTTTCAATGAATTTTTTTTTTTAATGATTTTTGTAATTTTTATCTTACTAAAAAGGTAATGTTAAATTTGATGTTACTTCAAAAGTATGCTTCTCAGCAGTCAGTTTTCTATGCTGTGGTTTCTGGCTACAGTCAATACACACATAGCAGACAGGAAGGTCAACAGTTGTAATGGAAATCAACAATACTCAACAAATGTGAAACACATCAGCCAACCTGTAGCAGATGAGATCACTCAAGTCAATGAAGGAACCAAACTAGACTGCTGTTACTCAAGTAGAGGAATCAAATCCTGGAGAAACTAATCAAATCAAGTGGGAAACTTTTAAGAAACAATAGCTACTCAATGTGAGAAGACCATTAAAAAAAAAATTCTTACAAATTTGATCACCGTCAAACAATTTCAATATAAACATTCACACCGGATTCTTATTTAACCCTGCTGAAAAGTTAGTTTCATTTACCATTAGTCATCCGGTCAGTGATTTGCATGCAAGGTGAAAATAAAGCAGCATTCATAAAATATCCATTTGTCAAATTTAGCCCTGTATGAATGCCAAAATCTGTAGGAGCCTGTTGATTGGCTTGACTGGACTGTTACTACAGTAGATATTTTAGCAAGTGTAGATTTTCAAAACAAAAATATGGCAGTGAAAACATACATTTTCAAATTTAAAATTTACTTACTTTTAACATTCAAAATGTACAAGCTAATAGTCAACTTGTATACATCAAGTATACATTAGCATAACACACCCAGCTTAACCAAACAACATGCAGCTATCATTTCACATATCACCCCAAGCACCTCTCATTCAAAACAAAATTTCAAACATTCAAAAAGAAATAAAAAGAACTACATTCACTTAAATCATAACTCTTTCTCTAAAGCCTGAAGTTTTTTCCACTCCTCTGGTTCATGTTTTGGCATCAACTCTCTGACCTTCTTGATGAACTCAGACTTCTCAGCACATCCTTTACAAGCACTGTCCTCACCCCAGTTAGACAGGATTTTCTTGAGCTCACCCACTCTCATTTTGTTCAGCTTGGTGAAGTCAGGCTTGACATCTGTGAAAATAACACTAAATAACAACTGCTATTCTGAAAAACATGTATGTTCTCTGGTGGGAAAATACGGCATATGTAAGGCAATAGAGAATCTGTGGTTAAATGAAGAACACTGACTCACCTTTTTAAAATACTAAATAGCATATAGAATTATATTTTAATACAAAACAAACATAACATGTAGACTCATTTTTAACAGTTATTTATCTAAAGAATATACACTTACCAAATCTCATCTCACAAATCTGAGCATCCATGGCCTTTAGTTTGTCACAGATCTTCTCTGCTGGGAGGTGGTAACTCAATGGTTTGATCAAATTCCCTAGGATGCCTGTAGCTGCATCTTCAGTCCCACCAACAAAGTAGCACTAATAGATATTTTTCAAAAAAGTTTGTTAATTTTATATCAAGAATTCAAGAACTTTGCTTTACTACAAATACAAGTTTCAGTAATTATTATAACTATACACAACAATTAAGTGAACATGTCATAAGAAATGCTAAAGGTTCTCATAATGACAAACAGTATCACAAGGAGGTTCTTTTCTGCAGGTCTTAAAGTCATGAATATAGACAATATTGGGTTGGAGCTAGGATATTACTTTATAATATGCCAACATTTCTAAAAGTATTGAAACTTATAACTCAATTTTTCTAAAGCACCTTAGCTATTAATCTCAACAGTACAATTGAATTAGTAGCACAAGTTCTTTTTTTTTTAGTCTTTTAGATAAACAATGATGTCAGGAGTATACAGCATCAAATTAATATTTTTCTTGTGCTGTTATTTTCACTATAGTCTTAGTGTTCTGGTCAGGATCAAAACTTGGGCAGTAACAATGGTTTTAGTTTTAATATAGCCTAGTAACTATTATTTTATAAATAACAGGAGAGAAAAAAACAACTTACAAATCTGTTTTCCTTGCCACCTTTAGGGATTTTTTTGCAGAACTTTCTAAAGGCAGATTCTAGTTTGTCAACTTTACCATACATTTCATCAGGAACTTCTTTCTTGAATTTTTCAATTGTAGCAATACAAACTAAAAGAAATTCAAATTAAACATCTTAAGATCTTTTAGCTAATTCATAAAATCTTAACTAATAAATTTCAAAATAGATTAAGTTTAATTAATATTAATGACACTACTCTATTATTGGTAGGAGGAGGGAAAAGTGATGGGAAAATTTGCTTTTAATAACTACTATGCCATACACAATATAGATCTAGATCTAGATCTAAATCTTTAAGCTTGCTTATACAAGTATTTATTCAGATCAGGTCCTGAACATATGCAGGTCCTGTACATGCGCGTTTCCAGATAGTTCCCCAAATGCCAGTAGAGTTTAGACTAATTTAGAGTTTTGGTTGAATGTAAGTATTGTAAGTTTTCTTATGAAACACTCTAGACTCTAGACTCATAGATCTAGACTAGGGATGTCTTGAAATATTGATGGAATCTAGATCTAGATAGTAGATATTGTCGAGTGAACTAGATCTAGATTCTAGATCTAGTAGAATTTGTAAGATAGATCTAGATTGAAGATTCTAGATCTAGATCTGATTAAAAGTTAGGCCTAACTTTTACTAAGCTAAAGGGAGTTAGGCTAAGGCCTAAGGCTATATTAAAATCATTTGGCCTGGATAGATCTATTATTAGATCTAGTCTAGAGTAAAGTTCCGCGTGTGGTCAAAACCACGGTGTAGTCACATTCCTGTTTATGGCTTCGTATAATATTTGTTTGGATGTTTTATACGAAACTACCAATATCTGCTGTAAACATGTCCATTTCTAAATATATCCAGGTCAAATTCTTTTGTTTCCCTCCTTCTGAAAGACGAGTTTTTAAATTTTCAAGTTTCGAGGTATGACGTCGTAGGCGATTCTAGTTCCCCCGTATGAAAAGCACTAGGTCCCGGATGAGATGAATAAAACCAACCAATCAAAGCTTTTTATAAGTGGGTTAACTATTAATAGCTTCAATATATGTGCGGGACACTGAAAATACTGTAGTTAAGGCTATTAAAAGAATCTTAGTGGTGAAATGGGGGTGATCACAGCTGGGGTAACGATTTTTGTGTTTTACCCTCGCTGTGGTCACCAATGACTTGAGCTAGACTAGCCTAGATCTAGATGCTCTATATTTCAAGCTAAGTCTAGAACCTGTATAATTTCTATTTTTTTCTGTTGTTTTAAATTATTTTAATCATCTACTTCTTCTAAATCTAGTTTGTGTCTCTACATACAATCCAATCGAAGCAAATGTTACGTTTTGTCTTGTTAGTGATTGTTACGTCCCTTTGTTATGATTATAATAGTTGCGTCCCTTGAGTCATCACTGGGTCATCCGTAATTTGTAGTTAATAAATTTAATTAACGTGTTATTATTTGGTTTTGCAAATCTATTAGTTAATTATACAATCATCAACACGTTTAAATGAGTAAAATTATTAAAATTGGATCAAAACGTAAAAAAATACGCTAGTGATCACAAGCAGGGACAGGTGACCACAGGCAAAAGAAAAGGGGGGAAAAGTAGATCACAAGGAGGTTCGTCACTAAAACATGAATATCTCAAATACTATGCGTATGAATACAAAATAACTCATGCATATTAGAGTAGAATGGCAGTGGAGTAATAAAGTACTTTCGGTTTGTTTCTGTGTGAAACTGTTACAAAATAGCGTCCGATGAAAATCGGGAGTTCGGAATTTTTTGCTATGTGTGACCACACGCGGAACTTTACTCTAGATCTAGAATCTAGAGTCTAGATCTCTAGACCTACAAATCTTCTAGAGTCAAACTCTCTAAGACCTAGATCTAGATCTAAAAGTTCAAGTTGCCTAAAGGCTAGGCTAAGGGTGTTTTGTTTTTTTTATTTAGGTCTAGATCTAGATAAGATCTTTTCTAGATCTAGATTCTAGATCTAATAATTTTAAGAAAAAACTTTTATCAGCCTACCTTCGCATTCACGTTCATCCTTCTCTTTTTTTCCTAAGGTAACTGAACTTTGTAGAAGACACAAGAATAAGCATAGAAGAGGAACTGTAGTCTTTCCAAGCAAGTGTAAATTATTGGCCATTGTAAAGTGTCTAAGTTATTCAGTTCAAAGACTGTTTTCTTCTTCAATTGTTTCCTTTGTTGTTTGTGTGAGTCCTCCCTCTTTTCGTAACTTCTACAGTTGAGAAAGAAACGTGCTGGTGAGATTCTAGATCTAGATCTAGAATCTAGAAAGATGGGATAAATTATTGTTCAACTAGTACGACTATTTTGTAATAATTATAAGTATCAATAATTCAAATCAGCAGTAGATAACGAGAAGTCTTTATAACACGACACTGAGACTGTAAAACACGACGTCTTATTCTTCACTTTTATTTAGAACGCCTTCATACAACCCGTGTTTTACACATACCGGTACAGTTGGCGAAACCTGATTGGTCTATTTTGTTGATACGTAGCTTTATTTTGAGCAGGAAATGACGATCTACTCATTTTTATTCTCACTCTTATAGGCCCTAGCTATGAAAATAGAAAGAACGAGAAGCTTGTTTCACTTTCGGTTTTTCAGTCAACAAAGATTCTCCATGTTATTATTGTTATAGTCTGGAGTAGGCCTACTTGATCATTGATCTAATCTAGATCTAGCTAGAGATCCCCGTTTTGTACAATACACACTTCAGGCTAAATCTGTATGATGAATATGATTCAATTTTGTAAAGATGTTCTTCAAGCTCTAAAGCTGACTACTTTTGTAATTTAAATAAATATTTTTTAAATTTTTTATCAAAATAATTTTTATTTTTATTTTATATTTTTTTTTATTTACTTATTTAGGCCCTAAGTACCTAATTATTAATTAATAATTAGATCTAGTAATTAGTTAGGCCTAGGCCTAATTATTAGTAATTAGGCCTATTAATTATTAATAAATGTTTCAATATAATTATTAGGCCTACTAAAAAAATGTAATACTTCATGGTGTCATCTGTAGTCACAGTGTAGTGTTTCCGATAATAGAATCTTCTTTTAAAAAAAGGATTGTTAACTAAATACTAGATCTAGTAAATACACACATGGCTTGCTAATGTCAATGCAAACCCTATCCCTAACCTCAATCCTAGTCCTACTATATACGTAATCTATAACCATATTAAAACTAATAAAGGGGAGAGGGGGGACACTCAATATTTTTTTTTGGCGGTGGGGGAGGTGGGGGGGGGGGGGGGGCAGACTAAATATTCCAAAAAGGACACTGGTAAAAGTGAAGTACATATTTTCTATATAAATTCCATTTCGAAGATGCCTGGAAGAAACTGCTGATATTTTGTTTGTATCTTTGATGCATAGCTGTTTTGAAGAGAATAATTATTTTTTACAATAAAAGAGAGCTTACAATTAGAAATAATAAATATATTTATATACATATACTTGTATTTAGGAAAATGAACAGCATTTGTCTTCCCTGCTGCACATGCTCACAACGCCACCTATGTACACAACACTTCGGTTCAACTCACAGAAGACCCAACCAGAACAGGCAGTGGAGAAGATTGCTGTGTTGCTAAATGAGGTAGACAGTTAAACTTTGTGTAGACAACATCAACATAGAATTTTACTTATTTTTTAATTTTATCAGGGACTCTTTGGATAGCCAATCTATTTATTTATAGGATAGTAGTGTTTGATAACCTTATTTTAGAACAGGATTAGAAATATCATTTGCATTTCTTACAGTAAGGAAAATGTTTAGTATAGTGTATAGGACTACTAATAAGAAGAGGTATTGAATTAGGTTACTTGTGTCTTGATTGAAAGTAGTCTGCTAAGAAAGTAATCTGATTGCATATGTCTTAAGGTCTGCAGAGTTTTTCATTACCTTTATTTATTTTGTTCTATTTGTCATGCTGTTAAACTACCTTATGAGGTGAAGACTTCAGTATTATTAGTTTACTATTTTACTTATATTAAATATTATATAGGTGTGTTATTTAATATACATCTAATTTATTACTAAATATTGCCTATATTTGTCTCTTTAATAGCAAAGTCAACTAAGTCAAAGAAAGCCATATGATATATTTTTGCACCCAAAACTTTGTGACTGTATAGTGATTAAGAATAGGGGACCTTTTGATGTAGCAAAGGTAAATGTTCTGAATTAATGGTTTCAGTGTGTATGGCTATTGCCAGTTTTATAAAACTACACTATACACACGTAAAATGTCAAGGTCACTGAAACAGTGATTATTTACATTATACCAATGTAATTCTACAATTGAATATTTATACAGAATGATTTCACTTTTTTTTAAAACCATAAATTAAAAATAATATGTAATTTCTATGGTGTAGAAATATAGTCTAACATTTTCAGCTGTTTTTATTTGAATATAGTTTTATTAAAATGTTATCCAAGACAGATAAAGAAATAATTGTTGATTTGGCATGTGGGATGGCAATACTGAGAGGAGCGCATGTTTATAAAAATGGAATCATGGGAATCCTACATAGTGAGTATTCACAATTTTAATTAGTTGATAGTGTAACAATAACGCAGTTTATCAATAGTATGTTTTGTATTCATTATATATTTGAATGTAACCCTTGATTTGGATTTATGTTTTTTATCTGTAATGTAGATACCAGAGCGGGTGATCTTGTATCTGTGTACGCTGATCTGGATGGCAAGTGTCTAAAGGGCAGAGCCTCCGTATATGATGGTCAAAAGCTGCATGTTGGGAATGGGGTCTCTCAAGTTGCAAGATCAGATGTATGTAATGTCAACACATCACACAGGTAGGCCATAGCTGGTAATTTCTTATTATTTAATATTTACATTTTTGTTGTACCAGGCAATTTTTTTACAGCTGATGTACATTAAATTTATTTTTAGGATATTATGTCCTTACAGTAATTTTAATTTTACTGTTTTGAATTTTGTCTCTTAATTTATAAATTGTTTTTCAAATAGGAAATTGTGTTGTTACTATGTTCATACAGTAATTGTTATTTTACTGTTTTCTTTTATATATTTATCAATTTATAATTAGTTTTTAAAATAGATCATATTGTTAATATTTTTTTTATTTAAACAGTAATTTTTATTTTATTGAGTTTTTTTGTTAATTTTTTTTTACTCCAGCGGGATAGGTATTTTGATGACGCAGCCAATTTTTGAAGCACCCTCCCTAGCTGATATACTACAAGAGGAAATTTTTGCACAAAATTTACCCTCCATTGTATGTGTTCATGTTCTGGACCCACAGGAAGGGGAGACTATCCTGGATATGTGTGCTGCCCCAGGAGGAAAGACGACCCATATTGCCACACTTATGAAAAACAGAGTGAGGCCTGTGCCTTTACAATTTAATATACAAACTTTGTTTTTAATGTATTAGCTCATATTAATTACAGAATGACTTTTAAGACATTATTTTAGTTAAGAAATAAATTCTGTTCTACAATAGTGGGGTAATGCGGCTACATATATTTTTTACTGTTGCTGTATTGAATTGTAAATGGTTCAAAGCTTTGTTACATGGGACTATTTATGTCTCTAGAAAAGGTATGATATCAATTTTTTTATGTAGTTCTGAAGCTTTTGGTGACTTTATTCCAGGGACGGATTGTAGCATTAGAAAAGAGCAAAGAAAGAACTAAGAAAATGGAAAAACTAAAAACTGAGAATATGGAGATTTATCCTTTTGACTCAACAAATGCTGTTTCTGCTGATGCTGGTAACAGTGTTTTGTTATTCGAATTACTTGAATGCAAAGTTTAAAGTAATAGGGTATTGTATATTTAAAGTGTCAAAATGTTAAATAAATATATAGTTTAATTTTTAATATCATGTATTTAATAAGTCTTTTCAATAGCTTTGTTATTGTTTCAGATCCCATGGGTGGGCCACCGTATCCTCCCTGTACGTTTGACCGTATCCTGGTAGACGCACCATGCAGTGCTTTGGGTCAGAGGCCGTCGTACATGAACAAGTTAACTCTCAACCAACTCAAGTCATTTCCTGTCATCCAACACAAGCTTCTGATGACTGTGAGCAATCTTTGTATATGTACTTAGTTGTTAAAATAGTTTAAGTCTGTAGACACAACTTTTTTATGTGTAAAAAAATATCAATCTTCTATGAATAAGTTTGCTTATTTATTTAAATTGATGTAATTTCATTTAAATAAGTAATGATATACTTTTATATTTTATAGATGAATATTTTTTAGCTAGGTATTGAAATCATAATTTATAATTAATTTTTATTGTTATGAATAAAAATATTATAATAAATATAAAATTTGACAAATAACGTTCCTTAGCTATCAACTACATGTAAAGATTCTTTTGTGCCATTTATTGTTGTAATTGGCATGTCTATTTGATTGAGATGTTCCCGCAATGTTAATGAGACTTTGAATTGACCAATTAACCAATTAATGTACCTGCAGGCCGTCAAACTGTTGAAACCTGGGGGTGTGCTGGTGTACAGTACCTGCACTATAACAAGGGAGGAGAATGAGGACCAGGTGTGCAACCTCTTAAAGGCTTGTCCAGACCTGGATCTTGTTGCTACTGTAAGTTTGGTTTTTTGGTTTTCTTATCATCTGTTGTTTTTTTTCAACTGTCAATTTATTTTATGTTTCTTCAAATATTTGATAAAACAGTTATTGCTCTCCTGAACTTCCTATTATTTAATTTTTTTCCAAATATTTGATAAAACAATTTATTTCCTCCAGAGTTTCCAATTATTTTATTTTTGTTCAAGTATTTGATAAAACAGTAATTGTTCTCCTGAATTTCCAATTCTTTTGTGTTTCTTCAAATATTTGATAAAACAATTTACTTTCTCCTGATCAGCCAATTATTTCATTTTTGTTCAAATATTTGATAAAACAATTATTGTTCTCCTAACTTTTTTGCCAAATTTTAGCCCTATAAAATTGGAGGGGATGGCTTACCAGGGTGTGGTCTTTCTGAAGAGCAGAGGTCAATGGTTCAGAGATTTGACCCCAGCTTTTTAAGCACATCTGACCAGGATAAATATAACGTGGATACAATAGGATTTTTTATTGCAAAGTTCAAGAAAAATAAAGATGCTGGAGTTTCATGATTAAAACTTTTTTTGTTTTCATGTTATTTTATTTGTTGTTCATGTTTTATGACATTTGTACATTTGATCTGGCTTGGTGTATTTACCATGACAAGTGTTCACTTAAGACATGTTTCAGTGGGATTATGGTATTCTTGTGTCAATATAATGTGTATTCGTATGCATTGTAGCGCTCATTTTCAAAGAATTCTTTTTACAAATTCACTAATCAATCTATAGTATCTAAATTTATTTTGCAGAAACAAACAAGCAGCATTATTTGAAAATATTTGTAATTATATTTTTTGTCACCTTGTTCTACTCCCTTTTTACAAAGTTGCCTAGATGGCATGTTCTACAGATCCTTTTATAAAGTAATTTATTTCTGTTCTCTAATACAAATGGGTTTTTTAAAGGAAAGTTGAAAAATTAAGAATGATCCAATTTTTATGCACTGCTGTGATTTTTCTAAACAAACTTTCAAAACCATTTTTTTGTATTCCAAAAATAATCTTTGAATTGGTATTTTAACACAATTTTTATTGACGATACTTGTGATATAGAATATCAATATTTTACAAGAAATTAATCACTACTCTCAACTGAACAGATTATCTATATATATAATTCTCTTCTGGGATCAGTTAGAAAACAAGCTGCAAGCACGCCTTTGCAGTCCCCTCTCTTCCTCTCTATCACTATCACTACCACCCCCACCCCACCCCCACATGATCTGGTGAGCGGTGTTCACTCTGTTTACATTTTACAATCATAGAGACGGGTTTGGTGACGGCTATTAGGGGCAGATAATTTAGTTTGAAACGATTTTAAACTTAGAGGAGGTAACTAAGAGGAGGCTGCTTTCACGTGGGGGGGGGGGGGGGGGGTTAGTGTTTTTAAACAAATATTTTCAATGGCAGCATTGGTACTGTCGAATTCACAAATTATAAATTACTGAAAAGTAGAAAGAAAAAAAACTAAATAGCGGCGTATGATACGCAGCGGGTCAGCTCGTAACTTATAATGCTTTATGATAAGAGAATTTTTAAATGTTCAAACTATTTTTACTAAATAGCTCAGCATTAATTTTATTTCATTAAACTTTATTTGTTACACAAACTTATTTGTTGAAAAAATAACCTTTACTTTACCTTTTCTTCAGTGATAGGTAAACAATCTTAAATTATTCAATTAAGCCAATATTACTAGTTTAGTGAATAAGAAAACAACAAATAAATATGTAATAAATACACCAATGTCAAATAGTATGACAACAGTCATAGAGCATAAAATAATATGTAGGTCAATATTTTGTACAAACCATTCTCCCAAACAATTAATCACATTCACTCTTCTTTCATCATTGTGTTTTGAATATTCAATATAAATGTACAGTTATCTCCCCTGTGAAATTAAAGTTTAATTCTCTGGATCCCCTCCCTCCACAATAACAGCATCAAAATTAACAGCCTCCAAGAATTCAGAGTCATCATCTTCATCATCCTCTTCGTTTAAGTTTTCACTGTTGTAAATTGTTGGCACTGGGGCACAGGCAGGGGGTAGGAATTTATGGAGCGCGCTGACCATGGTTTCCACAACCTGTATGGGACATGCTCTTGCTAGGGGCCTCTCTAAACAGTAGACAATATCTTCCGCAAAACTGAAATAGGCGAAATATGGGTTAAGTTTGATAATAATAAAAAATTTCAGTAGCATAATAATGCATATATATATATATATATATATATATATATATATATATATATATATATATATATACTGATAGGCTTACTTTATATGTATAAAATATGTATATAATATATTACACAAAACATGAGAACACAATTTAAATGATTTCCCCCCCCCCCCCCCCCCCCTTTATGACAAATTCCTGCCTATGAGACTATGAGAACAAATTTGCATTTCTTGTTTATTACATGTCCAGCCTATATCAATCACTTACTTGCACGTGATGTTATGTAGTGTTTTGTTATGTGTCCTGCCCACATCAGTGATATCCTTCCGAAAGTTTTGTGTTTTTGTCAGTATGCAGCTTGAAATCCGTGGTCCGAACCGAGACACACATTCAAAATGGTCTTTAAACACTGAAAATACATTTCATTTCACTATTGACAAAATAAAAGCTATTCTAGTTTAAATATATTTAGTAATCTATTTTTACGTCTATATTTTGTAAACCAAATAATGCTGTTTTAAACAATATTTTTTTCTTTCATAGTAATTGGTAATATATATATATACACTCAAATTTAGCTCATAAATAGTACACTACTAGACTAGTGTTCTAATAATTAATATGTGTGCATCCAATCAAATAATTTTTACCTTCAAGATTTAAAGTAATATTTAAAATGTTAACTGAATCTAATTCATCATTGAGTTAGTAGCATGCTTGATTAATTTTTAAAAATCAAACTTTAAACTATGCAGTTTCATTTCAATAGTAGCCGATATTTTTTTAACGATTGGTGGGTTAATTAATTGTTGTAGTACGATAAATTATTAGGCTTTCGCTAAATATTATTCTTTTTTTTTAGATTCATTTAGTGGCAAAGTTAAAAGCCTTATTTCTGACAATTTTTTTCTGTTATATGAAGGCTGTTGATAAAAATTAAATTTTACATTAAAATTAATTTAACAATTACAAGGGAAGCAAAAATGTACATATACAGTATACAATTAATCAAGTAAAAGCATCTAAATATGTAAACGTCATAAAAGCTAAGCAGCTAATTTGTAAAAGCAAACAAGGGGAAGGGGGACCTGTACCAATCTTCCTTTCCACTTTTTTTTCTTCATGTAGCGTGATGAAGGGGGCGGGACGTCTCTTTAAAAAAATTTGCTGAAAAACACAATCTATACTACTAGTAGGCTAAAGCAAACATGGAAAGGATCAATTGTCAGCGAAGCACATGCAGCTGGAATGTCATGGGACAATTTTGGAGGAAGCGCCTAAAGTCGAGTAATGTGGTTGCTTTTTGGGAATGAGAAAATGGTTTGGGAATGAGAAAATTGTAATTTGCGATAGTTTTCCGCTCAAAACTGTACTAAGGGAAACAACTCTATTAATATTTTCGGCATGATAAGCTTTGTTATGTCCCCTGAAAAAATGTGATAGGCTCAAGTTTGTGTGAAGAGGGGGTTGGTCTGACCTTTTTATCATAATATGTAAAAAGAATTAAGTGTTTGTTGGAGAAGGGTAAAAACGAACCAACAAAACCTTGATGATTGATCATATTTCACTTCAACTTTTTTATTTTAATTTGGTTTATGTTGGGAGCTAATTCGTTGAAACAGTATTTCATTACTACTGTGCATCGTTTATAGATTTTTTTTTTTTGTAATAGTCTCCATTAATATAAAAAAAAGTTGACAACGGATAAACGATGCTTTTTGCATTTAGGTGTAGTAGCTTCCTCCTCAGAAGTGGGGGAAAGCATTATATCACACAAAACATTATACTTTCTAGGCCTACACAACTACTGTAAGCATTAAACAAGTAAAATATTAATCATTAAGCCTACATTCAGTGCGCCTTCCCATATTTTACTTATTCCACTCGGCTGATTAGAAGAAAAACAATTTTTTTATATAAGTTCCCAGCCAATAATTCGATTTTTTATTGATTAATGTTAATTTAACAGGTTTTTTTATTTTTTTTTTTTTTTTTTTTTTTTTTTTTTTTTTTTTTTTTTTTTAGTATTTTATAAAGTTGCCGAAGTAATTTCGAATGGGTTTCTTATTTTACTGGGCTTACTTTGAAATCCATATATATTAGTTTTTTCCATCTTTTAATTCATAGACAAGGGCTACTTTTCTAAGTTAACCAAGATCAGCCCAAACACCAAGAAGAGTCAATAACTTTCACTGGGGGAAAAAGCGCTTGCTCAGCCTACCACAGCAAAACCAAACTAAACTACGAAACACAAAAAAAGCACACACAAAACGACACCGTGTTTCATTGCTTAGAAACACATTTTATGGCATCATGGCTGTCTTACCTCAAGATCAACGCTTCCTCTTTATTTGTTTTATTTTGATTTGCGCAGCAAGATAAAAACATTATTAACAATTTCTATACTCTAGATAGTGATGCCCATTTTCGACATTATATTTAGATCTATATCCGTAAAAAAAATATCCGTAGTTCAGAATTGACCCCTTAAAGATTTATGAAGCGTAGGCCTATATCCTCCTGCCCAATATCCCCATTTAATTAAATAGTTCCATTAAATTAGCAGTTTAAACATATGTTTTTAATATTTCTTGATTATTTGAAAGAAAATTTAATTTAAATTACAACAATAGTGTAAATTTGTAAAGTTTTTAAATATTTAATCCCTTTGCCAAAATAAATTTATTTATTTATTTATTAAAATTCTCGCTACATTTTTTATAATAACTTTCGAATTAACCCCCAGAGTTCCCGTATGTCGTAACCCCTGACACAACATGTATTAGTGCGCTTCATGTAGGTCAGATACGTTAAATGACGTGAGTTTTATGAAAGTCCTGGGTGACTTTCGTTTACCTAACTTACGGTTTAGGTCCTCGCACAACAGTTCTTGCCCTTGCTTCCACTGGTCAAGGCTGAACAGCATGTCCAGTTCGTGACGTTGGGTGGCGTTCTCGGCGCATCGCGTGTGGATGTCTCGCAGACAGTCGATCGTTTTCTGGAGAATTCCACGCCTGGTGAGGAGACAGCATCAAGTCAAACGTGTACCTTCTGAACACTGGACATAAGCTGACAACACCAAGGGATGGACGGGATGGACACTAGGAGACGCACTGAGGATGGCAGCAGACAGAGTGGAATGGAGGAAGACGATCAGAAAAGCTAGAGGCCTTGTAAAAAAAATTGCCGCTTTTAACATTTCTGATACATTTATTCATCCATAGAGCTGGTGATTTTTAACAAGAGGACTGCCGATTTAAACCATACATTTTATATACAATTCTTTTCAAATGTTAGTATTTTAATTCAACATGTTGACGTCCACATAGACCCGAAACGCCCCCCCCCCCCGCCACCCCCCCCCTCAGTCCACAAGCGTCCAAAAAAGTTGATTTTTTCGACATTATTAGGAAGGGAGAGGGGGCTTAATTGTAGTTTTTCACGATAAATTTGCGTTTTGTTTTTTTGTACACGATCGTTTCAAGAAGTTCATCGGGCTATAAACATATCGAAAGAAACCCCTAAAATGTGAATGAAATACGGTATACTTGCAGCGATTGAAAAATTTAAGGATTGAGAACATGACTACTCGTTTTTCAACGTGGTTCAAACACCACACATACTAACATAGTTGGACATTGAATGCTATAAGTTTGTATATGGTGCAACCAATGCTATTGTGGTAAGGAAAACGGGTAATCTCCAGAACCGTTTTCCCCTGTGTAGTGTGGGAGAACCACTTTGCAAAAAGGTTATCTCCCTTGGCGGGTTACGTGAAGTGCATGTAGATAACTCTCCCTGACTATCAGGGAGGGGTAGCTAACTCTCACATCACAATGTTTTGGGTCTTATATACCTTGAACTCTTATTCGTAAGAATATAACTTATCTTGAGTTCTGTGTGAATAATGGGATGCTTTTGTTCTACTTGTGTGGATAGAAAACAACACTTTGTATTGTTTTATAAAACGGATTCATTTAGAATTGTATGTCTCGCTTTGTAAGATGAATGGGTTGGGAAGTAGAGCAATAAACTGTTAACCCGAAAATCTTGTGTTCGAATCCCGGGCTTGAGTCAGTGGGACCTCATTGAGTCTATCCAGCTCTAATAGTAACCTGACTCACGTTAGGGAAAGTAAAAACGGATGGACACAATACTGATCACACTATCCCATCGTATAATGTAGTGGTGATGGACACTGGCGAACTCAACGTCACCTCTCCAATTGACTATCAGATCCAAAATGGTAACTTTACTGAGTGAAGTTGTTGTTGTTGTTTTTTAAACTGTTGAAACTATCTGCCAAATCATGAAATGCCTTGAATGACGTGGTCGATTTGTAGAGCATACGACTACAGAGTTTTGTGACAGGGCTCGAGTTGATAATCCAAGTTTGGGGGTACCTATCGATTCACCGTGGTAAGTATTTGATCAGTGGAAATGGCAGGAGACAAGCCTAATGTTATGAGGGTGGAAAGAATTGCAAGTTATGGTGTCGCTGCAGATGACAGGAAACACGATGTTTATTGGTGAGTGGACGACTGGAGCCGACTTTTAACCCCCCAACCGACCTTCCTCTCAGCCAGAAGTGTGATAGTTTTTATAGACAACCCCTAATCGATGAATATTGATCTCTATCCTTTTTTATTTCATTTTAATTTCCATAGGACATTTTTATCAGTCTATATGTAGTGAATAAATGAAGGGGGTGAAAGGGGTGAATGTTGTTGGTATGTCAGTGGCGTATGCAAGGGGGGTTAGGGGGGTATAACCCTCCCGTGGAACCATATATATATATATATATATATATATATACATATACATATATATATATATACATATATATGATTGTATACATATGGAAAAATGTTTGAACCCCTCCCATGACCAATTCCTGGCTACGCTGTTGTTTGTATGTAGTAACCTGTCCCCTCCCCTACTGTTCACCACCCATGCCTTGAGCTGTCGCTAATCACGTGGTCCATATTGTAGGCTACTTGTTTGTGTACGGGTATAAAAGGTGTGTGACAATGTGGTTTTATTTTCGTCTATCCAGTACCTACTTTACATCTATCAGGTTAGTGTAGTCTAGTGCAATGTATCCCAGATGTGTGTTTTACTTTTGGGTTACTTAACTAAAATAGACTGTGTTTGGTTTGTGTAGATGATATACCTAGATATGTATTAAACTTTTATTTAGATTTGTGAACAGCCTTTGTTTTATTTAGTCGTGTGTTTTGTAACCACTTTGTGGATCTGTGTCTTATATGTTGCGCGACGCGCCAAAAAAAAAAAAACCATAAATGTGTGTCCGTGTGCCAGAGGCGTAGCGACCCTTCGACAAACTTTCGATTTGCACCCCCCCCCCCTCGAACTTTTCATTTGCACCCCCCCCCCCTCTAACTTTCGATTTGCACCCCCCACTCGAGAACTTTTCATTTGCACCCCCCTCAAACTTTCAATTTGGCGCCCCCCCCCTCGCTACGCCTCTGCCGTGTGCTCATAACATTATATAAATTACATATGTCATATTTTTTACATTCTACGGTAGGTGGGACGGGGCGAACGCAGGAGGGGGCGTCTTATGTTCCAGTCTCCGCCTAACGCACGAATAATTATCATAGGTGAATCCTAGTTATATAAATAATGTGGTGAACGTCGGAATAATTGGGATAAACGAGCAACAAAGACACACTAGCAGTCTGGTGAAAAACATGTTCTAATCGGGTTTCTCCGCAGCAGTACTCACTCGCACAGCTCCTCCAATTTATCTGTGTCAGTAACGAGAGGCAGGCCGCCCCCTGCCTGTGGCGCCACCTGCGCTTCCATCACACACGTTTCCACTCTGTAGCGATAGTCCTCGGGGCATCTTGGTTTGTGGGCGGCGGCTGGGGGAATCAAGGGAGATTACTCTGAGTGTAAACAGTTAGAACAGGGGAGGTCAACAACATTGGCATTTCTGGTTTTTATTTGCTATGCATGTTTGTTGATTTCCCATACCCATATAGTGGATAGAAAATCTACTCTAAGTATAAATTATAATAGTAAAGCATCTGTAAATATACACGAGACCATTACAATAACATCACGACAGCAATTAAGAAAGGGTGAAACAAGGGGCCCATTAGAGTTGTGGCCAGTGTTTCTTTCAGACTTTTTTCTCCGGGGCGGGGGGGGGGGGCTACTTAATATTTGGGGGTGGGGGCGGATACTGGTAAAAGTATATATTTTCTGTATAAATTCCATTTCGTTCGAGCGGGGGGGGGGGGGGGGGGGTAGAAACTCTGTAGATAGCCAATATAACTAGGATTGATGTTTACCATCCCCCCCCCCCCCCCCCCATCCCCACGGCCCTCCCAACAAAAAAAAATTTGTTCAGATAATTTTCACATTTTATTTTTAAACATCAAGGTACAGATAGTGTCCAATGTTTCTATCTTACTGTAGAAATGTCTGCATTGTTTTGTAATTGGCCTTCAACCATTACGCCTATGTTAAAAAAACGACTATATAACGATATCAACATTCAAAGTTTTAGGGTCTATATGTGGAACGCGTGAGGGGCGAGGGGGAGGGAGCATGATAAAGTTGTGAATTACACAAAATAGTGAATTGAGAAAAACTTATTACTGTTACAAAAATGTGTCATCAGTAAACGTCTATATATATAAAATATAGCCTAAGACAAAATACACATGTATACTGATTTATCCAAGAGGAATTGTTTGGGAACTTACCAACCACCTAGAGGACTGTGACTTTGCTGATGACTTGGCTTTACTTTCACATGCCCAAAAAGACATCCAAGCGAAAACCACAAGAATAGAGCAAATTGCCAAAAGCGTTGGGCTAAAGATAAACTCCGGAAAAACCAATCTAATGAAAATAAAAACCAAAAGTGCTCTCAAGACCTTTGCGAATGGAGCAGAGCTAGAAGAGGTCGAAGACTTTAAGTACCTCGGCAGCTATATATCAGCAAATGGCAGCATGGAGAAAGAAATTGCCACCAGAATAGCAATGGCAGCACAAGCTTTTAATAGACTCGCTAAGATCTGGAAATCATCCTCACTGCAGCAGAGAACTAAAATAAGGATCTATAAGTCTAATGTACGTTCTGTACTCCTCTATGCTGCAGAGTCATGGAAACTAAACAAGAAAGTAGACAGCCGACTCAGAGCAGTGGCGTGCAGACCTATGTAGATGCCCGGGGCAAAATCAAGCGGAAGATGCCCCCATAAATACTTATATATATATATATATATATATATATATATATATATATATATATATATATATATATATATATATATATATCATTTATTTTAAAAAATGTACTTATCTTAATTGAGATGAAAACGTTGACTACAGCCAGCTAAATCCAAATGGAATGAATGGTTGGAACTTGGGAGAAGGGGGGGGGGGGAGACAATTGCGGGACGGGTCGTGGTGCGGAGGGGGGGGGGGCTGTGATGCACTACAAAAGAGTCTCATCCGGTATTGTATTACCACCTGGGACCGCAGGGACAAAAACGCTGTCCGTGTCTGCAATTAGGGCGTCAGATACGCCTTTATTAATGGGATGTTTCTCTCTTGGCCTGTTTAGGAATTCCTATAGTGTAACTAATACAGGTGAGAGTGTGCATTGAACTAGAGATGTTTCAGATTTTTCTCTCTAAACCACTTGGTCAAAACGTCAACTCTTTAAAGAGATGGGTGATGCTAGCTAGATACTCTCAAACTATCTTAACCTTGAATATAACAGAAGTGTACCTTGGTTGGCTAAGGGGTCATCCATTTATGACGTCCACACATTTTTGGGATTTTGGACCCCCCCCCCCCCTCTTCCCTGTCCACAAACGTCCACTTTTGACGGACCCCCCCCCCCCCCCCCCCATCCCGTGGACGTCCACACTGACTATAAGTTTTTGCATAATCTTCTTCCACTATTACTCAAGCTACTGCATTTAGTGTGTATATACTCTGAGTGTATATAGTATTACAAATACTGGTACAAATGTGTTTTATTGTCCTTCGTGTCCCACACCTGAACAGGGACAGCGTGCTAACCCCCCCCCCCCCCCCCTCCACCCCTCTCCCGTGTCACAACTGAACTGGGATGACCCAGCCTACCTAGAGAAGTGGTCGCCTGGTATTTGACCTGGGATGCAAATGTGGGAAACTTGTAATTGGATATCTTATTGTATTCCAGGTTAAGCCAGGGCATAGACCCAAGCTCTGGGTGGTTAAAGGGCCAGAGAGATAGGATAGTTGAACTTTAGCTTCGCTAGGAAATATTTTTCTTTCACACTACCAAAAATAATGTTAGATTTAATGTGTGGACGTCCACATTGGGCCAACCCCCCCTCCCCCTGTCCACACGCGTCCACAAAAGTCAATTTTTTTTCGGACCCCCCCCCCCCCCCCCCCCCCCCCGTGTGGACGTCATAAATGGATGACCACTAAAGCTGCCAGCTTAAAAAAACATTTCTAAATCGGACTGTGTTTAAAAATCCACTATGCTATGTCAGACCCTCCCTAGGCTTGGACGCGTTTTCACAAATTTAACACCCAAGTACGTCTGTCTAGTTCAGGTGGTGGATAATCCACTAACGGCTTCCATAGCCTAAAAACCCACACCGCATCCCCACATTTCATTACATCATTATGGGCTCAATAACTCTATAGATAGCTCTACTATTAACTGAAATAAAACTGGCTCTGCATGTGCTCCCAATTACTTTAAAGAAAGCTCTACTCAGAGTTAAAAACTTTAACTTTAACACTACTTAAAGCATGCTCCTCCTATTTGTAAAAATCAATATGGGCGCAATTATTCTGAATGATATCATTACAATGTACCGAAAACAATATGTTGATTCGTATTCTTAAGATTGTCGCTACAGTGTATCAAAAACATTATATGGGCATTCTTATTCTTAAGTATGCTTATATAATGCATGAAAAAAAAATATACTAATGGCTGTCAGTGGCTTAGCTACCGTAAAGCTAGAGTAAGCAAGGCATAGGGGCCCAAGGCAAATAGGGGCCATTTTCCTTCTTTTAAAAAGTTAAAACTTTTACATTGGAATTTTGATATTTATTTTATATAAATAATTTTTAAAAAATTAATGAAATCAAGTTTTTTTTTCTACTGTAGAAATAATTTAATTTAAAAAAGGCCCCAAGTCCTTTCTTAGTGTACAGGCAGTGGCATTCAGTGTGGGGGAGGGCGGGCGACTAACATTAACATTGTTAATTTTTGCATAGGGGACCGAAAATCCTAGCTACGCCACTGAATGCTGCCCATACAATTTAACAAAAAAAAGTTATTACACTGCAAATGGCCATATATTTCACCAAAGATGCCCCAAAAATTTATAATAATAATATGGGCATAATTACCCTTTGGATGCCCTTAAAATGGATAATAATGAAGAAGTACATCAAAAAATAGCTTTAGAGATGCCCCCAATGTTAACAACGATGATTGGTGTAATTACTGTTGCATGTCCTTCGAGTGTAATACATGAATATAAGCTTAATTACTTTCAAGATGCCCCTACAATATATAAAATGAAGATGGGCATACTTACTGTATGGATGCCTTTAAAATGTATTATAAAGTGAAGTGGGCATATTAGTAAATGCTCATAAAATATATTATAATGAATATACGAATAATTACATTAAAGATGCCCCTATAGTGTATAAAAATAAATATGATTTAATTACTCGACGGATGTCCTTGAAAATGAGTATAACGAATACGCGCATATTACTTTAAAGATGCCCTAATACAGTGCATGGGAATAACTTGGTCACAAGTACTCTAAACGATGCCCCTACACTATACTAAATAAATATGACACACATTTATTAATGGAATATCATTGACTTCCGCAGGACTACCCTTCACTGATGCCCGCTGTTTCTATATAAGTTTTGCCATACGGACAGTGTAATGTTAAAACGGCTGACAGACGATTGAGTGTTACAATTTTTTTGAGTGAGATCGCAAAACATATGGAAAGTTACGATGACACCATGACACGACATATCACAACAGTTTTAAAATTACTAAAAAAAAAAAAAAAAAAAAAAAAAAAAAAAAAAAAAAAAAAAAATTAACTAATTAATTAATTTTTTTTTTTTATACCTCCGCTGGATGCCCCCCAGTGGTGGATGCCCGGGGCCTGGGCCCCGTCCGCCCCCCCCTCTGCACGCCACTGACTCAGAGGCTTTGAAAGAAGATCCCTCCAACGCATCCTCAGGATAAAGTGGGACGACAAAGTCCCGAACAAGGAAATATGGCGAAGGACAGGATTAAACGACATTGTCTCAGAAGTTAGAACGAGGAGATGGAGATGGCTGGGCCATGTCCTACGCATGAGCAAAAAAAGACTCCCCAACATGGCGCTGAAGTGGAACCCACCCGGAAAGAGAAGTAGAGGAAGACCACTGGGAACATGGAGGAGGGAGATGGAAGAAGAAGTACAGGCTACTGGCAAAACCTGGCATGAACTAAAGTGGCTCGCCCAGGACAGGGTGGAATGGCGGAGATTTGTTGTTGCCCTATACTCCACAGGGAGTGATGAGGATTAAGTAAGTAAGTATACTGATTTATACATAGTGTATAATATGTATATATATATATATATATATATATATATATATATATATATATATATATATATATATATATATATATATATATATATATATATATATAGGCATATCGCTATTATAATATTGAGAAAGTACCACTTGTCCTGCCTCGTAATTCTACTAATGTATTTCAAACGAATTATCCTAAACTAAAAACTTTTGAGTCCCGTCAACTCCAGCAGTCAAGGATCACCCAAGTGTCGTCTCCCATCCACCCCCCCCCCCCCCCCCATAGTTAACACCATCACCCAAACATCACAACCAACATCTTGACTTACCGCAGCAAAGAAGTGCCACCACCGAGACGAGCACTGCAACGTTCGCCATCTTGTCTGTGTAGGTTCAAGCACGCATTTAACGGTGGGGGCAGCTCACCCCGGGGCATGCAGGTAACCTGTGGCCCAGATGGTTTTCTCAAGGTGTCTCGGTCTGGCACTGCTATTTTTAGCGCGCGGCAGTTTGTTGTGTCTTGTGTGTATGTTTACAGTCTAATGTTGTTTTTTCTGCATGTTGGGTTTCTATTGGAAGTTTTACTTTATTTTTGTTTATATTTAAAATTTTGACACAATCTAGGCTTAATCTTCGATTATTTATAGAAGCCAGGGTGGTCTAAAGTGTCAAAATTATAAAATTTAAAAAAGGATTTAAAAATATAAAAGCAATTTATGAACATTTGCTATGGAAGCTGTTGGTTCAGCTATTGTTATCTTCTGTGGGAGCTGTTGGCTTGGCTCTTGATATCAGCCATAGGAGCTGTAAGCTCAGCTCTTGACATCAACTATAGCTGTTAGCTCAGCTCATGATATCAGCTGTGGGAGCAGTTGGCTCTTGGTATCAGCTGTTGAAGCTGTTAGCTCAGCTCTTGAAATCAGCTGTGGGAGCTGTTAGCTCAGCTCTTGAAATCAGCTGTTGAAGCTGTTAGTTCAGCTCTTGATATCAGTTGAAAGCACCATCTTCTTTAGACATTATGTGTAGGCTAGTGGTGAAGTAGCCTATGTGACACAGGATAACAATAGACCCTACTAAAACTAATATTAATTTGGCTTTTGAGTCTCTTGTTGAACTTAGAAGTGTTTTCATTCTTCTTATACACTTTTATAGCCAGATATCATTATCATCATAACCTCTTACTTGAAAGCTTAAAACATAAATCAGCCACAAACCTGAAAGCTGTCTCAATAGTTTATCCTGACAATCTTCTTTTTCTTCGTTCTTAATTTTAGAGTTAGAAGGGATCCCCTCCAATATAATTTAGTATTCATGTCCACTGGTTATGCACCATTGAGTCCATTGACTCTGATTTCAGCCTGCTTTTCTTTTTTGATTTGCTTCCATAGCCTTTGTCCAACCAAGAGCAAACTACAAGGCAGCAGTTGTTTGATTTTGGAGTTGTCTCTCCTAGAAGAGTAGCTGTCCCTAACTTACGAGCCTCATCTGCCCAAGGGTTCGAACACAAGACTTTTCAGTTTAGCAACCATGAGCTTTGCAGACTCGACCACGCCGACCCCTATCATGACAATAATATGCTTCCCATTATTTTCATAACAAGTCCTACTTAAATAAAATAAATAATTAAATAAAACTTAAAATAATTTTAATGCTCCTTCATAATATGACATGACGAAAATAAAATAATCATATTATACTTATCATGCATAAAGGATTATAGTAATTATATCTTACAGAAATTGTAAGTAAAGTAAAAAGATGCCTCTTTAGACTTAGCGATCCATTGGGCAGATGAAGTAGAGTTCATAAGTTTCTTGACCTTGGCATAAGATGAGATGTGGTCAGCACTATCACCAGCTGCCTTTACTTTCACTAATTGGGTGGACTCAGGGACATTCCACCAACTTAAACCTGGATTCGAACTCGAGACTTCTGGGTTAGCAGTCTAGCGCTCTACCGCTAGGCCACTCTGTTCATTAGGTAAGTACATACAGTGTGAGCACATATTCCAAAAGTTGGTAACAAAACCTCTTGAAATAATAAAGTAAATTTTTAAAAAGAAATATGTGGAGGAACAGATTTTTATTGAGAATAGAAATGTATCATTTAAGCCAAGAAAAAAAGATAATTTAAAAATAAAGTGAAATGTTTTTTAAAAACACAACTCAGCCATTTTTGTCAAATAAAAGTACTAACATAAGGACAAAATTGATCTATGTAGTTGAACTTATTTTAAAAATGAATTAAACATAACATGTGAATCGTATTGTTAGCACATGAAAGATAGAACATGATACAAAGCTGGATGTTTACAAATTTTGAGCATTGCAATATTTTCTGTTGCACTTAAAATTTAAAAACTAACAGCAAACATTTTTAAAGAAATTTTTAAGGGTGATTATTAAATAAGTCTAATAGTTGAATTATAAATATGCATAAGTTCAATGTTGGTTTATTAAAAAAAACTCCAGTTAACTTAGGTTACTAACTAAAATTGATACAACAGTGATGGTATACATACCATCATAAAAGTTTTTTTTTTTACTTAGTAATTAACATGTTATACAGCAACAGCAAATCAACAACATGCTTTATGTTATCATTTAAACTTTCTTTAGTGTAATTCTTGTACATCATTAAATAAAATGTGAAAGGAAAAATGAATGACATCACCTTATCTCTCGTAGCAGTAAATGCCAATAGTCTTACAAGATGAATGGTTGAGTGGCTCTTGAAAAAATAAATTTTATGCAGCTTATGTGCAAAAACAATCATTATTTGATGACAAATCACGAGGAAAATTCATATCAATGCCACTAAGCATCAACTAACTTTAATAAACTAACCTTCAACAAAAAGTTGAATGTATAAAGAGAGTTATAGCCCATAATGTGGACCACACCAAGTGTTGATACAAAAAAAATGTACAATCAGCTTTTGTTCACCTTTTATTTCTCAAACAACTCAGTTACTAAGTTTAGGTTGGATAGAATGTTGCTATTTTCTATTTATAAAAAAAATGTATCTTCATAAATGGCCATGGTGTGTTTTAATCAGTACTAGTAAAAAAGATTTGCATTGAATCAAGTTTAAAAACAAATTCTTAAACTAAATCTACCACTGGTGCAATGAAAGGGTTTGTTATAATAAAATAAACATAAACACTAACAAAAAAACTTATATTGCCCTCTCTCAGTAGCAAAAACTGTCTTTTTTAAAACACATTTCTTGATGTGTACCTATAGTGAAGTGATGTATGTAGGTAATTAAAAAATCTGTCATTTTACATTCCTTTTTAACAGATCACAAGTTGGTCTATTTAATGTAACAAAATTATAGATTTATACCAAATGGTCAGGTGTTGGGAAAAATCAAAATTAAAATATTGCAATTAGTTAAAGAATAGAACTGGAAAAGGCATGAAACAGAAATATACATGCTTTTATGTAACACATTATTTTTATTTATAAAAACAAAATCATTTGCTCTTTTCTAATTCACCATTTGTTATACATTTGCCTATAGAATTCCAAAACAATTTTATTTAATTAATAATAAAAGAAAATGGTTTTGGAAAGTGATTAGCATAATAATTATGCTAATCACTTTCAGAATCAGTGGCCCCCTCAAGGACCAGTACTTCATACTGTTCAATTACTCTTTCTCTCTCGCGCAAAAGCAACTTGTTTTCAGCTTTAGCTCTTGCTAGTTCTACCCTGAGCATGTCTACCTCAGTTTGGGAACAAGACAGCTCACTTTTTGCTTCAAGCTGTTTCTCCTGATGCTCCTGTACAACATTCTGATATTTAACTTGCATCTCAGCATAGCTGTCTTGTAGATACTTTAATTCTTTAGCTAGAGGTTCAATCTCTAGTTGATGCCGCTCTTGTTCATTATCAAACTTGGCTTTTATTTTTAATTTCAACGCTTCTATTTTCAAGTCAGCTCTACTAATTCTGGTCCTTAAAGTGTTAATGTTAGGTAACTGAGAAGGGTCACATTTGTTGGTCAGGAATTCAATCCACTTTTTCCTCTTAAGAATTTTTTTATTTCTTCTATCACACATGGGACATATTTCTTTTCTTAATTCAGATGAATTCTCAAGTTTACCTTCAACATTTAAGTCAAAATTACTTTCCTGGTTTTCTTTACAAGTAGAAGTGGCTTCTGGCCAACCATCCTGGGACACTGAAGGTCTTGCCTCTTCCAATGGCTTAAGTGCTTTAAGGGCAAGATTTTCATTATATAATTGCTTAAATGATGTACACTTTGGTGACGGCTGAAAAGCAAAAGGAGTATTAAAGAGCTCCACAATTTCACTCCATCTAACAGTTTTCTTAAATCTTAAGAGGCCCTGGAGTTGATGAAACAGGTCTGAAACAGCTTCTACAAATTTTTTAAAGTACGCACCCTGACAAGATGTACCTTTCATAAAATAGTGTTTCTTTGCAAATCTCTTACACTGTACATTCATTCTCTGGTTACGCATGCATTTCAAGTTACGGATAATAAATCCATTGAGTAGTGGTGTTGTAGGTTCTGAAAATGATTCTCTCAAATCAAAATATTTATTTAAGGTATAAGAATCATCAGAGCCTTGGGGTTCCATACTTTTTTCTCAACCGTATTGAATTTTTTAAATGAGATTTTAAAAAATCTTTCTATTTCAAGTGGAAATTCCTGAAACAGTATTGAAATAGAATTAAAAATAGGCCTATAAATAGCTAGTATCCTAAAACAATTTTATATTAATAACTAGCAGCTTATACCCGGTTTGCTCTTCCTAACCTTACTCCCTATCTCTATCCCTATTCATTCATGTATTCCTATCCTTATCCTTATTTATACCTATACTCATCCCTTACCTACAGCATTCCTGTAGCAATACATATCCTATCCCTATAAACTTAAAACTATCGATATCCCTATCCCTTACCTATCACTGTAGCAATACATAACCTTATCTTAAACCTATACATTTCCAGATTTCTGTTGCTATTCCATTTCAATTTCCCTATTGCTATAACCATCCATTTTTGCTATCCTGCACCAGTAACCAATTAACAAAACCTATAACTATAACTACATCTATAGCTATACCTAATCTATTTCTAATTTATTCTCAACCAATCCCTACTGGTGGCTAGTGGGTAAATGAGTGTGTGTTGTGGGGGGTAACAATGTGTTACTGCAATTGGCTTGGGTGGGTGTTAGGCAAATAGGGCATAGGGTAATTTTCATGAGATTTAATTCAATTGTTTAAAAACAGGTACATATTAGTACATAAATGGGTAATCTATCGTTTTAGGTACGTAAAATCGCTGTGACCAGAGGCGTAGTGAGGGGGGTGGCGGGGGGGGGGGGCGACATATGTCCCGGGGCGCCGACCTTAGGGGCGCCAAAATGGGTTGGAAAAATAAATAGAAAGCTTGAGGGGGGGTGCAAATTGAAAGCTTGAGTGGGGGTACCCAGGCGCTGGGAAGGGTCGCCACGCCTCTGCCCGCGACTAGTAATGTGAAAAACAGTTGACTGCTTAAATTTTAATAATTATTTCACATTTTGAGGAGGATTTATGTTTTGAAAAATACAAAAATGCTTCTTTGTTTCATTTTTTTATGTACCTGTTTTTTAAACAACTGAATTAAAACTTTTCAGTAATAAAAGAAGACTAGCGATGTTTCCAACAGATGCAACCATGCTCATTTACTGACATTTACTATAACAGCCACCTTGTTAATTTTTGTATTGTAAACTTATAGCGCAAGATTTAGGGGAAGCCACTCTAACTTACAGATGGCCGCTTATTATATAGCAAATCCTGCTCGCAAACACTGCTGTTTAAAGTTAATTTCTTGCATATATTGATATATATTTAGCCATTGATTTAGGTTTATTATTCATTTATCTATAGTACTTGACACAAATATTATGAATATAGTATTATTAGTATACTTCTATTAAAGCCTTGACAATGAGGTAACTTTTTCTTACATTACTAGCCGCAGGCGATTTTACGTACCTAAAACGATAGATTACCCATGGCTTAAAATTAAACCATAAATGTCTTTAAATGATAAATGAAACATTTTTGTATTTTTCAAAACAAATCCTCCACAAAATGTGAAATAATTATTAAAATTTAAAGTTTATAAAGTTTTTTTGTAAGTTTTTTACATTACTAGTCGCGAGCGATTTTACGTAATCTAGATCTGGATCTAGACTAGTAATACTAATCTAGGTCTAGTATTTATCTAGATCTAGTCCTAAAACGATTGATTACCAAAGTAAAAAAAATCAAAATAGATCTAGATCTAGAAATCTAGTAAAACTACTAGATCTAGACTAGATCTAACTAGTACTACTAACTTACTACTAACTAGAAACGTAAAAATAAAAATAAAACTGGAGGTGAAGTGAATGTGAATGTGAAGCGTGGAATAAAATACGAATGGAGGTTTACCGTTTACCCCTTTGAGACTATTCTCGCTTGGGTCCAAGGGCTAAAGCAATATTTTTTTTTTAAATGTCCTGACATTAAGTTTAAGTTTCATTAACTTCTGACAAAAACAACGTTCGAGATGATAAGTTTACTTTTTAAGTTTGAAACAGCGGCCATCTTTATAAAAATATTATTTAGAGTAGTTTCCCTTTAATTTCTATTTGTTTGGACGTAAATTGATTTGTGTTAGTTAGGCCATTATATTCATTATACTAGTAATTAGAATATAGATAGATCCAGAAATATTTACTATAGACAAGGCCTATAGACTACATTATAATAGAAAGCAATTTTTTCTACCCTTCAAAAAATGTAATTTGGGGAGTCATCCATAAATGACGTCACGCTTTTTTTGACGATTTTTAAATCTCCCCTTCGTCACATTTCGTCACAAAAAGCCAGACCCCCCCCCCCTCTAAAATGACGTCACACCTCAGCCTACAACCCCCCCCCCCCACCCCCTCAAAATTGCAGTTGAATTTTTTTTTAAAACATCGATGTTTTTCTAAAATCTTGTCTGAACTCTGTCAAAATATAGTATTTTAATCAATTCCTATTACAAATTATTAAAACCGTTTTCCAAAACGCGAAATAACGTCTAAAAGTCGTTTTCTAACATTGCTTTTGTATAATGCAAAAGTGTGAAGTCGCACCATCTGAACCCCCTCCGACACACATCGCCAGAAAAAGCTAGACCACCCCCTAAAATGACGTCACACCTCAGCCTACACACCCCGCCGCCCCCCCCCCCCCCCCCCCTTCCTCAAAATTGCAGTTGAATTTTTCTTAAATAAGCATTCTCATCTATAAATTAACACTTAGGTAGGGTTTAATTTAAAAAGCATGAACAATATTTTTTTCGTGCGGTTCCTGGCAACTGGGTGTAACACACCCGTACACAATATGTATAGGAAACAACGTTTATAACTTACTAGGCATGCTGCCCAGCTTTGCTTAGGCTTTCAAAAACATTGAGAATTTGAATGCTTAATTAATTCGCCCGAGGGTCGGTCTACGACCTCAGGAGTTATGAAGAGGTTCCTCCGTGGACATTTTTTTTCGATTTATAGCTCATATAAGGCGCCGGTCAGTCGAGGTCAGTTTTGACCCCATCATCGTAGACTTTTCGGCCAACCGGCCCCCGTGTTCTGTCGCCCCAAGGCAAGATCCTGCCAAATTTGAAGCGCCTGCGGCGCCGGGAAGTGCCCTATCGGGCAGCCGACAACTTTGCTTTATTATTAATTTATATATTATAGAGATTAGCAAATTGCATAGATAAACAAAGATTTCAATAAAGTAATTAAGGCCTGAAATACTTTAGTATAGAAATGTATTATTTGAATAGATGAATCTAGAATATCTAGATCTAGAATCCAAATAAATTAAATAAATTTTATGAGTTTAGGCCGGAAAAATTGTATTGTATACATTTCATAGTCCACGTAGATCTAAATCAAATTTGAATGAAATAGTTCATTTCTTTTTATTCTAAACACGGCAGATGACGTCATTAGTTAATGTATAAGCAATAGTGACGTCACAGTTTTATGTGTTCTTTTTCACATCTATTAATGCTTTTCCGGTTGCATAAATAATACTGTTTCTCTACATTCGAATACGCCTTTAATTTTTATTTTTCTTCTTTAAATAAAATTGTGGTTATACATTTAAAACATCTAACATATTATTTTCAACAAAAGTCCGTATAAAGTTCTCCATATATTTTATTTTTTATTAACTTGTTTTTCAATTTTCAAATTATTTTATGTTTCTTCAAAGATTTGATAGAACAGTTATTGTTCTCCTGAATTTCCTTTTTTTTTGTGTTTCTTCAAATATTTGATAAAACAATTTACTTTCTCCTGTCTTGCCAATTATTTTATTTTTGTTCAAGTATTTGATAAAACAATTATTGTTCTCCTAACTTTCTTTGCCAAATTTTAGCCTTATAAAATTGGAGGTGATGGCTTACCAGGATGTGGCCTTACTGAAGAGCAGAGGTCAATGGTTCAGAGATTTGACCCCAGTTTTTTAAGCACATCTGACCAGGATAAATATAACGTGGATACTATAGGATTTTTTATTGCAAAGTTAAAAAAAAATAAAGATGCTGGTGTTTCATGATTAAAACTTTTTTTGTTTTCTTGTTATTTTATTTGTTGTTCATGTTTTATGACATTTGTACATTTGATCTGGCTTGGTGTATTCACCATGGCAAGTTTTCACTTAAGACTTGTTTCTGTGGGATTATGGTATTTTGGTGTGAATATAGTGTGTATTTGTATGCATTGTAGTGCTCATTTTCAGAGAATTCTTTTTACAAATTCACTAATCAATCTATAGTATCTAAATTTATATTGCAGAAACCAACAAGCAGCATTATTTGAAAATATTTGTAATTATATTTTTTGTCATCTTTTTCTACTCCCTTTTTACAAAGTTGCTTAGATGGCATGCTCTAAAGATCCTTTTACAAAGTAATTTATTTCTGTTCTCTAATACAAATGTCTTTTAAAGGAAAGTTGAAAAATTAAGAATGATCCAATGTTTTATGCAATGCTGTGATTTTTCTATACAAACCTGCAAAACCATTTTTTGTATTCCAAATATAATCTTTGAATTGGTATTTTAACACAATTTTTATTGACAATACTTGTGATATAGAATATCAATATTTTACAAGAAATTAATCACTACTCTCAACTGAACAGATTATAACTTATAATGCTTTATGATAAGAGAATTTTTAAATGTTTAAACTATTTTTACTAAATAGCTCAGCATTAATTTTATTTCATTAAACTTTTTTTGTTACATAAACTTATTTGTTGAAAAAATAACCTTTACTTTACCTATTTTTCAGTGATCAGTCAACAATCTTAAAATATTTATTTAAGCCAATATTACTAATTTAGTGAATAAGAAAACAACAAATAAATATGTAATAAATACACCAATGTCAAAAAGTTTGACAACAGTCATAGAGCATAAAAAAATTTGTAGGTCAATATTTTGTACATTCTACTTACAAACCATTCTCTCAAACAACCAATCACATTCACTCTTCTTTCATCATTGTGTTTTGAATATTCAATATAAATGTACAGTTATCTCCCCTGTGAAAGTAAAGTTTAATTCTCTGGATCCCCTCCCTCCACAATAACAGCATCAAAATTAACAGCCTCCAAGAATTCAGAGTCATCATCTTCATCGTCCTCTTCGTTTAAGTTTTCACTGTTGTAAATTGTTGGCACTGGGGCACAGGCAGGGGGTAGGAATTTATGGAGCGCGCTGACCATGGTTTCCACAACCTGTATGGGACATGCTCTTGCTAGGGGCCTCTCTAAACAGTAGACAATATCTTCCGCAAAACTGAAATAGGCGAAATATGGGTTAAGTTTGATAATAATAAAAAATTTCAGTAGCATAATAATGTAAAACTATGTAAGCATATATATATATATATATATATATATATATATATATATATATATATATATATATATACTGATAGGCCTACTTTATATGTATAAAATATGTATATAATATATTACACAAAACATGAGAACGCAATTTAAATGATCCCCCCCCCCTTCATGACAAATTCCTGCCTATGAGACTATGAGAACAAATTTGCATTTCTTGTTTATTACATGTCCAGTCTATATCAATCACTTACTTGCACGTGATGTTATGTAGTGTTTTGTTATGTGTCCTGCCCACATCAGTGATATCCTTCCGAAAGTTTTGTGTTTTTGTCAGTATGCAGCTTGAAATCCGTGGTCCAAACCGAGACACACATTCAAAATGGTCTTTAAACACTGAAAATACATTTCATTTCACTATTGACAAAATAAAAGCTATTCTAGTTTAAATATATTTAGTAATCTATTTTTACGTCTATATTTTGTAAACCAAATAATGCTGTTTTAAACAATATTTTTTTCTTTCATAGTAATTGGTAATATATATATACACTCAAATTTAGCTCACAAATAGTACACTACTAGACTAGGGTTCTAATAATTAATATGTGTACATCCAATCAAATAATTTTTACCTTCAAGATTTAAAGTAATATTTAAAATGTTGTTAATTGAATCTAATTCATCGTTGAGTTAGTAGCATGCTAGATTAATTTTAAAAAATCAAACTTTAAACTATGCAGTTTCATTTCAAAAGTAGCCGATATTTTTTTAAACGATTGGTGGGTTAATTAATTGTTGTAGTACGATAAACTATTAGGCTTTCACTAAATGTTATTCTTTTTTTTTAATTCATTTAGTGGCAAAGTTAAAAGCCTTATTTCTGACAATTTTTTTCTGTTGATAAAAATTAAATTTTACATTAAAACTAATTTAACAATTACAAGGGAAGCAAAAATGTACATATACAGTATACAATTAATCAAGTAAAAGCATCTAAATATGTAAACGTCATAAAAGCTAAGCAGCTAATTTGTAAAAGCAAACAAGGGGTAGGGGGACCTGTACCAATCTTCCTTTCCACTTTTTTTTCTTCATGTAGCGTGATGAAGGGGGCGGGACGTCACTTTAAAAAAATTTGCTGAAAAACGCAATCTATACTACTAGTAGGCTAAAGCAAACATGGAAAGGATCAATTGTCAGCGAAGCACATGCAGCTGGAATGTCATGGGACAATTTTGGAGGAAGCGCCTAAAGTCGAGTAATGTGGTTGCTTTTTGGGAATGAGAAAATGGTTTGGGAATGATAAAATTGTAATTTGCGATAGTTTTCGGCTCAAAACTGTATTAAGGGAAACAACTCTATTAATATTTTCGGCATAATAAGCATTTCTTTGTTATGTCCCTTGAAAAAATGTGATAGGCTCAAGTTTGTGTGAAGAGGGGGTTGGTCTGATCTTTTTATCATAATATGTAAAAAGAATTAAGTGTTTGTTGGAGGGGGTAAAAACGAACCAACAAAACCTTGATGATTGATCATATTTCACTTCAACTTTTTATTTTAATTTGGTTTATGTTGGAAGCTAATTCGTTGAAACAGTATTTCATTACTACTGTGCATCGTTTATGGATTTTTTTTTGTCATAGGCTACATTAATATAAAAAAAAATTGACAACGGATAAACGATGCTTTTTGCATTTAGGTGTAGTAGCTTCCTCCTCAGAAGTGGGGGAAAGCATTATATCACACAAAACATTGTACTTTCTAGGCCTACACAACTACTTAAGCATTAAACAAGTAAAATATTAATCATTAGGCCTACATTCAGTGCGCCTTCACATATTTTACTTATTCCACTCGGCTGACTAGAAGAAAAACAATTTTTTTATATAAGTTCCCAGCCAATAATTCGATTTTTTACTGATTAATTTTAATTTAACAGTTTTTTTTTTTTTTTTTTTTTTTTTTTTTTTTTTTTTAGTATTTTATAAAGTTGCCGAAGTAATTTCGAATGGGTTTCTTATTTTACTGGGCTTACTTTGAAACCCATATATATTAGTTTTTTCCATCTTTTAATTCATAGACAAGGGCTACTTTTCTGACTAAGTTAACCAAGATCAGCCCAAACACCAAGAAGAGTCAATAACTTTCACTGGGGAAAAAGCGCTTGTTCAGCCTACCACAGCAAAACAAAACTAAACTACGAAACACAAAAAAAGCACACACAAAAACGACACCGTGTTTCATTGCCTAGAAACACATTTTATGGCATCATGGCTGTCTTACCTCAAGATCAACGCTTCCTCTTTATTTGTTTTATTTTGATTTGCGCAGCAAGATAAAAACATTATTAACAATTTCTATACTCTAGATAGTGATGCCCATTTTCGACATTATATTTATATCCGTAAAAAAAAATGTCCGTAGTTCAGAATTGGCCCCTTTAAGATTTATGAAGCGTATATCCTCCTGCCCAATACCCCCATTTAATTAAATAGTTCCATTAAATTAGCAGTTTAAACAAATATTTTTAATATTTCTTTATCATTTGAAAGAAAAGTTAATTTAAATTACAACAATAGTGTAAATTTGTAAAGTTTTTAAATATGTAATCCCTTTGCCAAAATAAATTCATTTATTTATTTGTTAAAATTCGTGTTACATTTTTTATAACTTTCGAATTAACCCCCATCAGAGTATGTCGTAACCCCTGACACAACATGTATTAGTGCGCTTCATGTAGGTCAGATACGTTAAATGACGTGAGTTTTATGAAAGTCCTGGGTGACTTTCGTTTACCTAACTTACGGTTTAGGTCCTCGCACAACAGTTCTTGCCCTTGCTTCCACTGGTCAAGGCTGAACAGCATGTCCAGTTCGTGACGTTGGGTGGCGTTCTCGGCACATCGAGTGTGGATGTCTCGCAGACAGTCGATAGTTTTCTGGAGAATTCCACGCCTGGTGAGAAGACAGCATCAAGTCAAACGTGTACCTTCTGAACACTGGACATAAGCCGACAACACCAAGGATGGACGGGTTGGACATAAGGAGAGACACTGAAGATGGCAGCAGACAGAGGGCGATCAGTAAGGCTAGAGGCGCACACCCCTCCAGCTTGTAAAAAAAAAATTGCCGCTTTTAACATTTCTGATACATTTATTGTCCCATTGAGCTGGTGATTTTTAACAAGAGGACTGCCGATTTAAACCATAAATTTTATATACAATTCTTTTTAAATGTTAGGATTTTGATGTTAAATTCAACATGTTGACGTCCACATTGACCCAAAACGCCCCCCCCCCCCCCCTACCCCCTCAGTCCACAAGCGTCAAAAAAAGTTGATTTTTTCGACATTATCAGGAAGGGAAAGGGGGCTTAATTGTAGTTTTTTCACGACTAAAGACAATAGTGCAGGGGTGTGTGGATAAATTTGCGTTTTGTTTTTTATACACGATCGTTTCAAGAAATTCATCGGGCTATAAACATATCGAAAGAAACCCCTAAAATGTGAATGAAATACGGTATACTTGCAGCGAATAAAAAAGTTAAGGATTGTGAACATAACTACTCGTTTTTCAACGTGGTTCAAACACCACACATACTAACTTGGTTGGACATTGAATGCTATAAGTTTGTATATGGTGCACCCAATGTTATTGTGGTTAGGAAAACTGGCAATCTCCAGAACCGTTTTCTCCTGTGTAGTGTGGGAGAACCACTTAGCAAAAAGGTTATCTCCCTTGGCGGGTTTCGTAAAGTGCATGTAGATAACTCTCCCTGGCTATCAGGGAGGGGTAGCTAACTCTCCCATCACAATGTTTTGGGTCTCAAGTACCTTGAACTTAAACACTTTACCATTAAAATGTAGCTTTTGTTCTACTTTTGTGGATAGAAAACAACACTTTGTATTGTTTTATGAAATGGATTCATTTAGAATGTTATGTCTCGCTTTGTTGGATGAATGGGTTTGGTGGTAGAGCAATAAACTGTTAACCCGGAAATCTTGAGTTCGAATCCCTGGCTTAAGTTAGTGCGACATTCCTGAGTCTATCCATCTTTAAGGGTTACCTGACTCAGGGAAAGTAAAAACGGATGGACACAATACTGACCACACTATCCCATCGTATAATGTCGTGGTGATGGACACTGGCGAATTCAACTTCACCTGTCCAATTGACTATCAGATCCAAAATGGTAACTTGACTGAGTCAAGTTCTTTTTTAAAACTGTTAAAACTATCTGCCAAATCATGAAATGCCTTGAATGACGTGGTCGATTTGTAGAGCATACGACTACAGAGTTTAGTGACAGGGCTCGAGTTGATAATCCAAGTTTGGGGGTTCCTATCCATTGGCCGTAGTAAGTAGTTGATCAGTGGAAATGGCAGGAGACAAGCCTTGTGTTATGAGGATGGAAATAATCTTAGGTTATGGCAGAGGCGTAGCGACCCTTCCCGGCGCCCGGGGACAAACTTTTCGATTTGCACCCCCCCCCCCTCAAACTTTCGATTTGCACCCCCCTCAACCTTTCAATTTATTTTTCCAACCCATTTTGGCGCCCCCTAAGGTCGGCGCCCGGGGACATATGTCCCCCCCCCCCCCCGCCCCCCCCCCCCGTCCCCCCCGTCCCCCCCCCCTCGCTACGCTACTGGGTTATGGTGTCGCTGTAGATGACAAAAAACAAGCTGCACGATCTTTATTGGTGAGTGGACGACCAAAGCCGACTTTAAAACCCCAACCGACCTGCCTCTCAGCCAGTGTGATAGTTTTTATAGACAACCCCTAATCGATGAATATTGATCTCTATCCTTTTTTATTTCATTTTTATTTCCATAGGACTTCCCACATTTTTATCAGTCTATATGTAGTGAATAAATGAAGGGGATGAAAGGAGTGAATATTGTTGGTATGTGTATGTCAGTTGGTATGTCAGTGGCGTAGGCAAGGGAGGTTAGGGGGGTATAACCATCCCGTGGAACCATATATATATATATATATATATATATATATATATATATATATATATATATATATATATATATATATATATATGATTGTATACATATGGAAAAATGTTTGAACCCCTCCCATGACCAATTCCTGGCTACGCCGTTGTTTGTTTGTAGCTGTCGCTAATCACGTGGTCTATATTGTAGGCTACTTGTTTGTGTACGGGTATAAAAGGTGTGTAACAGTGTGGTTTGTTTTTCCTCTATTTAGTACCTACTATACATCTATCAGGTTAGTGTAGTCTAGTGCTGTGTACTCTAATTCTGTAGCCAATGTATCCCAGATGTGTGTTTTACTTTTGGGTTCCTTAATTAAAATAGACTGTGTTTGGTTTGTGTAGAAAATATACATAGATATGTATTAAACTTTTATTTAGATTTGTGAACAGCCTTTGTTTTATTTAGTCGTGTGTTTTGTAACCACTTTGTGGGTGCAAATCGAAAATTTGAAAGTTTGTTCCCGGGAAGGGTCGCTACGCCTCTGGGGGGGGGGGGGTGACACCATTAAGTGCCGCACCGGGTGACACCCGACCTCGCTACGCCACTGAGTACAGATGTCATATTTTTACATTCCACGATAGGTGGGACGGGGCGAACGCAGGAGGGGTGTCTTATGTTCCAGTCTCCGCCTAACGCACGAATATTTATCATAGGTGAATCCTAGTTATATAAATAATGTGGTGAACGTCAGAATAATTGGGATAAACGAGCGACAAAGACACACTAGCAGTCTGGTGAAAAACACGTTCTAAGTTCTAATCGGGTTTCTCCGCAGCAGTACTTACTCGCACAGCTCCTCCAATTTATCTGTGTCAGTAACGAGAGGCAGACCGCCCCCCGCCTGTGGCGCCACCTGCGCTTCCATCACACACGTTTCCACTCTGTAGCGATAGTCCTCGGGGCATCTTGGTTTGTGGGCGGCGGCTGGGGGAATCAAGGGAGATTACTCTGAGTGTAAACAGTTAAAACAGGGGAGGTCAACAACATTGGCATTTCTGGTTTTTATTTGCAATGCATGTTTATTGATTTCCCATACCCATATAATGGCGAGGAAATCTAATCTAAGTACAAATTATAATATTAAAGCTTCTGTAAATATACACGACCCCATTACAATAACATCAAGATAGTAATTAAGAAAGGGTGAACGGGTTGAAACCAGGGGCCCCATAGAATTGTGGCCAGTGTTTCTTTCAGTTTTTTTTTCTCCGGGGCGGGGGGGTCACTTAATATTTGGGGGTGGGGTGGGGGCGGATACTGGTAAAAGTATATATTTTCTGTATAAATTCCACTTCGTTCGAGCGGGGAGGGGGGGGTAGAAACTCTGTAGATAGCCAATATAACTAGGATCCGTATACATTTCCCCCCCCCCCCCCCCCCCAAGGCCCTCCCAACAAAAAAAAATTGTTAAGATTATTTTCACATTTTATTTTTAAACATCAAGGCACAGATAGTGTCCAATGTTTCTATCTTACTTTAGAAATGTCTGCATTGTTTTGTAATTGGCCTTCACCGTAACCATTACGCCTATGTTAAAAAAAACGACTATATAACGATATCAACATTCAAAGTTTTAGGGCCTATCTGTGGAACGCGCGAGAAAGGGGGGGGGGGGAAGCATGATAAAGTTGTGAACTACACAAAATAGTGAATTGAGAAAAACTTATTACTGTTACAAAAATGTGTCATCAGTAAACGTCTATATATATATATATATATATATATATATATATATATATATATATATATATATATATATATATATATATATATATATATATATATATAAAATATAGCCTAAGACAAAGATACACATGTATACTGATTTATACATAGTGTATAATATGTATATATATATATATATATATATATTATTATAATATAATATATTATAATATTATAATATTGAGAAAGTACCACTTGTCCTGCCTCGTAATTCTGCTAATGTATTTTAAACGAATTATCCTAGACTAAAAACTTTTTGAGTCCCGTCAACTCCAGCAGTCAACGATCACGCAAGTGTCGTCTCCCATCCATCCATCCCCCCCCCCCCCCCCCCCCACAGTTAACACCATCCCCCACACATCACAACCAACATCTTGACTTACCGCAGCAAAGAAGTGCCACCACCGAGACGATCTCTGCAACGTTCGCCATCTTGTCTGTGTAGGTTCAAGCACGCATTTAACGGTGGGGGCAGCTCACCCCGGGGCAGGCAGGTAACCTGTGGCCCAGATGGTTTTCTCAAGGTGTCTCGGTCTGGCACTGCTATTTTTAGCGCGCGGCAGTTTGTTGTGTCTTGTGTGTATGTTTACAGTCTGAGCTTTTTTTTCTGCATGTTGGGTTTCTGTTGGAAGTTTTACTTTATTTTTGTTTATATTTAAAATTTTGACACAATCTAGGCTTAATCTTCGATTATTTATAGAAGCCAGTGTGGTCTAAAGTGTCAAAATTATAAAATTTAAAAAAGGATTTAAAAATATAAAAGCAATTTATGAACATTTGCTATGGAAGCTGTTGGTTCAGCTATTGATAGCTAAGCTCTTGCTATCAGCCGAAAGCACCATCTTCTTTAGACATTCTGTGTAGGCTAGTGGTGAAGTAGCCTATGTTACACAGGAGAATAATAGACCCTACTAAAATTAATATTAATTTGGCTTTTGAGTCTCTTGTTGAACTTAGAAGTGTTTTCATTCTTCTTATACACTTTTATAGCCAGATATCATTATCATCATAACCTCTTACTTGAAAGCTTAAAACATAAATCAGCCACAAACCTGAAAGCTGTCTCAATAGTTTATCCTGACAATCTTCTTTTTCTTCGTTCTTAATTTTAGAGTTAGAAGGGATCCCCTCCAATATAATTTAGTATTCATGTCCACTGGTTATGCACCATTGAGGCCATTGACTCCGATTTCAGCCTGCTTTTCTTTTTTGATTTGCTTCCATAGCCTTTGTCCAACCAAGAGCAAACTACAAGGCAGGAGTTGTCTCTCCTAGAAGAGTAGCTGTCCCTAACTTACGAGCCTCATCTGCCCAAGGGTTCGAACACAAGACTTTTCAGTTTAGCAACCATGAGCTTTACAGACTCGACCACGCCGACCCCTATCATGACAATAATATGCTTCCCATTATTTTCATAACAAGTTCTACTTAAATAAAATAAATAATTAAATAAAACTTAATATAATTTTAATGCTCCTTCATAATATGACATGACGAAAATAAAATAATCATATTATACTTATCATGCATAAAGGATTATAGTAATTATATCTTACAGAAATTGTAAGTAAAGTAAAAAGATGCCTCTTTAGACTTAGCGATCCATTGGGCAGATGAAGTAGAGTTCATATGTTTCTTGACCTTGGCATAAGATGAGATGTGGTCAGCACTATCACCAGCTGCCTTTACTTTCACTAATTGGGTGGACTCAGGGACATTCCACCAACTTAAACCTGGATTCGAACTCGAGACTTCTGGGTTAGCAGTCTAGCGCTCTACCGCTAGGCCACTCTGTTCATTAGGTAAGTACATACAGTGTGAGCACATATTCCAAAAGTTGGTAACAAAACCTCTTGAAATAATAAAGTAAATTTTTAAAAAGAAATATGTGGAGGAACAGATTTTTATTGAGAATAGAAATGTATCATTTAAGCCAAGAAAAAAAGATAATTTAAAAATAAAGTGAAATGTTTTTTAAAAACACAACTCAGCCATTTTTGTCAAATAAAAGTACTAACATAAGGACAAAATTGATCTATGTAGTTGAACTTATTTTAAAAATGAATTAAACATAACATGTGAATCGTATTGTTAGCACATGAAAGATAGAACATGATACAAAGCTGGATGTTTACAAATTTTGAGCATTGCAATATTTTCTGTTGCACTTAAAATTTAAAAACTAACAGCAAACATTTTTAAAGAAATTTTTAAAGGTGATTATTAAATAAGTCTAATAGTTGAATTATAAATATGCATAAGTTCAATGTTGGTTTATTAAAAAAAACTCCAGTTAACTTAGGTTACTAACTAAAATTGATACAACAGTGATGGTATACATACCATCATAAAAGTTTTTTTTTTTTACTTAGTAATTAACATGTTATACAGCAACAGCAAATCAACAACATACTTTATGTTATCATTTAAACTTTCTTTAGTGTAATTCTTGTACATCATTAAATAAAATGTGAAAGGAAAAATGAATGACATCACCTTATCTCTCGTAGCAGTAAATGCCAATAGTCTTACAAGATGAATGGTTGAGTGGCTCTTGAAAAAATAAATTTTATGCAGCTTATGTGCAAAAACAATCATTATTTGATGACAAATCACGAGGAAAATTCATATCAATGCCACCCAGCATCAACTAACTTTAATAAACTAACCTTCAACAAATAGTTGAATGTATAGAGAGAGTTATAGCCCATAATGTGGACCACACCAAGTGATGCCTTCCAACCCAAATAAAATAAATATTTTAATGAGAACATCATGACACCATCCATAGTTGTATGTGAAGTGGAGTGACACCCTGGGTTACCCCAAGGGTGTAAACACCTTGATACAAAAAAATGTACAATCAGCTTTTGTTCACCTTTTATTTCTCAAACAACTCAGTTACTAAGTTTAGGTTGGATAGAATGTTGCTATTTTCTATTTATAAAAAAATGTATCTTCATAAATGGCCATGGTGTGTTTTAATCAGTACTAGTAAAAAAGATTTGCATTGAATCAAGTTTAAAAACAAATTCTTAAACTAAATCTACCACTGGTGCAATGAAAGGGTTTGTTATAATAAAATAAACATAAACACTAACAAAAAAACTTATATTGCCCTCTCTCAGTAGCAAAAACTGTCTTTTTTAAAACACATTTCTTGATGTGTACCTATAGTGAAGTGATGTATGTAGGTAATTAAAAAATCTGTCATTTTACATTCCTTTTTAACAGATCACAAGTTGGTCTATTTAATGTAACAAAATTATAGATTTATACCAAATGGTCAGGTGTTGGGAAAAATCAAAATTAAAATATTGCAATTAGTTAAAGAATAGAACTGGAAAAGGCATGAAACAGAAATATACATGCTTTTATGTAACACATTATTTTTATTTATAAAAACAAAATCAATTGCTCTTTTCTAATTCACCATTTGTTATACATTTGCCTATAGAATTCCAAAACAATTTTATTTAATTAATAATAAAAGAAAATGGTTTTGGAAAGTGATTAGCATAATAATTATGCTAATCACTTTCAGAATCAGTGGCCCCCTCAACGACCAGTACTTCATACTGTTCAATTACTCTTTCTCTCTCGCGCAAAAGCAACTTGTTTTCAGCTTTAGCTCTTGCTAGTTCTACCCTGAGCATGTCTACCTCAGTTTGGGAACAAGACAGCTCACTTTTTGCTTCAAGCTGTTTCTCCTGATGCTCCTGTACAACATTCTGATATTTAACTTGCATCTCAGCATAGCTGTCTTGTAGATACTTTAATTCTTTAGCTAGAGGTTCAATCTCTAGTTGATGCTGCTCTTGTTCATTATCAAACTTGGCTTTTATTTTTAATTTCAACGCTGCTATTTTCAAGTCAGCTCTGCTAATTCTGGTCCTTAAAGTTTTAATGTTAGGTAACTGAGAAGGGTCATATTTGTTGGTCAGGAATTCAATCCACTTTTTCCTCTTAAGAATTTTTTTATTTCTTCTATCACACATGGGACATATTTCTTTTCTTAATTCAGATGAATTCTCAAGTTTACCTTCAACATTTAAGTCAAAATTACTTTCCTGGTTTTCTTTACAAGTAGAAGTGGCTTCTGGCCAACCATCCTGGGACACTGAAGGTCTTGCCTCTTCCAATGGCTTAAGTGCTTTAAGGGCAAGATTTTCATTATATAATTGCTTAAATGATGTACACTTTGGTGACGGCTGAAAAGCAAAAGGAGTATTAAAGAGCTCCACAATCTCACTCCATCTAACAGTTTTCTTAAATCTTAAGAGGCCCTGGAGTTCATGAAACAGGTCTGAAACAGCTTCTACAAATTTTTTAAAGTACGCACCGTGACAAGATGTACCTTTCATAAAATAGTGTTTCTTTGCAAATCTCTTACACTGTACATCCATTCTCTGGTTACGCATGCATTTCAAGTTACGGATAATAAATCCATTGAGTAGTGGTGTTGTAGGTTCTGAAAATGATTCTCTCAAATCAAAATATTTATTTAAGGTATAAGAATCATCAGAGCCTTGGGATTCCATACTTTTTTCTCAACCGTATTAAATTTTTGAAATGAGATAAAAAAAAAATCTTTCTATTTCAAGTGGAAATTCCTGAAACAGTATTGAAATAGAATTAAAAATAGGCCTATAAATAGCTAGTATCCTAAAACAATTTTATATTAATAACTAGCAGCTTATACCCGGTTTGCTCTTCCTAACCTTACTCCCTATCTCTATCCATTCATGTATTCCTATCCTTATCCTTATTTATACCTATACTCATCCCTTACCTACAGCATTCCTGTAGCAATACATATCCTATCCCTATAAACTTAAAACTATCGATATCCCTATCCCTTACCTATCACTGTAGCAATACATAACCTTATCTTAAACCTATACATTTCCAGATTTCTGTTGCTATTCCATTTCAATTTCCCTATTGCTATAACCATCCATTTTTGCTATCCTGCACCAGTAACCAATTAACAAAACCTATAACTATAACTACATCTATAGCTATACCTAATCTATTTCTAACTTATTCTCAACCAATCCCTACTGGTGGCTAGTGGGTAAATGAGTGTGTGTTGTGGGGGGAGGGGGGTGGGGGTAACAATGTGTTACTGCAATTGGCTTGGGTGGGTGTTAGGCAAATAGGGCATAGGGTAATTTTCATGAGATTTAATTCAATTGTTTAAAAACAGGTACATATTAGTACATAAATGGGTAATCTATCGTTTTAGGTACGTAAAATCGCTGTGACCAGAGGCGTAGCGAGGGGGGACGACATATGTCCCCGGGCGCCGACCTTAGGGGCGCCAAAATGGGTTGGAAAAATAAATAGAAAGCTTGAGGGGGGGTGCAAATTGAAAGCTTGAGTGGGGGTACCCAGGCGCTGGGAAGGGTCGCCACGCCTCTGCCCGCAACTAGTAATGTGAAAAACAGGTGACTGCTTAAATTTTAATAATTATTTCACATTTTGAGGAGGATTTATGTTTTGAAAAATACAAAAATGCTTCTTTGTTTCATTTTTTTATGTACCTGTTTTTTAAACAACTGAAAATGTGAAATAATTATTAAAATTTAAGGAGTCACCTGCTTTTCACATCACAAGTCGCGGGCGATTTTACGTACCCAAAACGATAGATTACCAAATTTAAAGTTTATAAATTAAAGAGTCACCTGTTTTTTACATTACTACTAGTCGCGAGCGATTTTACGTAATCTAGATCTGGATCTAGAGAATCTAGTATTTATCTAGTCCTAAAACGATTGATTACCAAAGTAAAAAAAATCAAAATAGATCTAGATCTAGTAAAACTACTAGATCTAGATTAGATCTAACTAGATCTACTAACTAGAAACGTAAAATGTAAAAATAAAAATAAAACTGGAGGTGAAGTGAATGTGAAGCGTGGAATAAAATACGAATGGAGGTTTACCGTTTACCCCTTTGAGACTATTCTCGCTTGGGTCCAAGGGCTAAAGCAATATTTTTTTTTTTTAAATGTCCTGACATTAAGTTTAAGTTTAATTAACTTCTGACAAAAACAACGTTCGAGATGATAAGTTTACTTTTTAAGTTTGAAACAGCGGCCATCTTTATAAAAATATTATTTAGAGTAGTTTCCCTTTAATTTCTATTTGTTTGGACGTAAATTGATTTGTGTTAGTTAGGCCATTATATTCATTATACTAGTAATTAGAATATAGATAGATCCAGAAATATTTACTATAGACAAGGCCTATAGACTACATTATAATAGAAAGCAATTTTTTCTACCCTTCAAAAAATGTAATTTGGGGGTCATCCATAAATGACGTCACGCTTTTTTTGACGATTTTTAAATCTCCCCTTCCGTTTTCGTCACATTTCGTCACAAAAAGCCAGACCCCCCCCCCCTAAAATGACGTCACACCTCAGCCTACAACCCCCCACCCCCCTCAAAATTGCAGTTGAATTTTTAAAAAAAAAAAAACATCGATGTTTTTCTAATATCTTGTCTGAACTCTGTCAAAATAGAGTATTTTAATCAATTCCTATTACAATTTATTAAAACAGTTTTCCAAAAAGCGAAATAACGTCTAAAATTCGTTTTCTAAAATTGCTTTTGTATAATGCAAAAGTGTGAAGTCGCACCATCTGAACCCCCTCTGACACACATCGCCACAAAAAGCTAGACCACCCCCTAAAATGACGTCACACCTCAGCCTACACACCCCGCCCCCACCCCTTCCTCAAAATTGCAGTTGAATTTTTCTTAAATAAGCATTCTCATCTATAAGGTGGTAGAAATTAACACTTAGGTAGGGTTTAATTTAAAAAGCATGAACACTTTTTTTTTTTCGTGCGGTTCCTGGCAACTGGGTGTAACACACCCGTACACAATATGTAGGCCCCCTATAGGAAACAACGTTTATAACTTATAAACTGTCTTCTAAACATATATTTTTGCTTACTATTTCTTTGATTTGTTTGATTCATATTCAAATAGAACTGTAAATAGACACGTTGAAGTAATCTGTGTAAAAAATTATCTAACTATATAAAAAATGTCTTATCTATTATAATAAAAAAGATCATAACATGAGCACATAAAATGTTTACAGTTCAAAGAGTACAGATATTACATAGAATAATTGAGTGTTCTTTGCATATGTGCCAAGTGCATTTGCTGCATATTGATTTCGTTTTCCAATCTTATTTTGTTGGGCACAATGTGCATCTCTTTTACTTTGAAGCTGAATCAGAAGAAACGTCAGATGTCCTTTACCTTTTTGGAGGAGTTGAAGTTGTGTGTGTAGCTTATTCACTTATTCACGTGGTTGTAACATTTTTAAAACACTGGTGATATTCTGCTTCACAATATCCTGATGTGTGGGACGGATCGCCTCGGTATTTGTGGGAGGGTGAGGGATTGTGCAACTTCAACGTTGAACAGCTGTCTGTTGTCTTCATGGGCCAGAGAACTTGTAGGATATTTGCATTGAAATACGACTCTTGCAGCAATTGATGCCAAGTCAATCATGTTGAAAAAGACAACCAATGACCATCTTTTTGTTTTACGTTAGACAGTGAATTGCCTTATCCATTTGATCCATAGCATCTACACTCTTTACCAAGATATGGGCAGCCTCGCTATGGATAGTTGTATCTGTCACTAATAGCCGTCACTAAACCCGGCTCTACGATTGTAAACATTTAGCGTGAACCACAGCTCACCAGACCATGTGGGGGTGGTAGGGATATGCCTAGAGAGGAAGACAGAGAGCTACTAGGCGCGCTTACAGCTTGTTGTTTTCTATGGTATCCAAGAAGAGAATTATATATATATATATATATATATATATATATATATATATATATATATATATATATATATATATATATATATATATATATATCTAATATATAAAGCTCAATTCTGTAACGCATATGTTTGTCGTTGGCATTTCTACGGATTTAAGTGTTAGATCAATTATCGTGCGCGTTTGTCTAAATTTATGAGTTAAAAAATTACTATTAAAAGTGTTGGGAAATCATTTTCATTTTTCAAATTATAGTAATAATTGTCGGCATGTTCATTAAACACAAGTTTTAAAAAAATATCATCTTTTACAAAAATTCTAATTATGTTTTTATTTAGTCCTATAGCGCTTACTTCCCTTTGATAAATTAGGCAAAACACAATTACTTCCCTTTATGAAATCATTGCATTAGTTGAAAAGCATTTACTTTTTAATTACTTTGTTTTGGTGTTGGGAAAAAAATAATTACATAATTAGCGGGGATTGATCAAGTGCAAATGTTTTAGGTATTTTACGGATAAGCTTGGAGTATTATAATTGTTCATTAAATTGAAACAGGCGCGTTCGTTTAAGTGAGTGCAAAAACTATGAATAAGTTGGGGTACTATAGTCGTTTATTAAGCTAAAACAGGCGATTCTGCCCCGGGCGTTTATGTTCGCGTTAGTGTTTTCTTTGTGTTTAGGTGGGTTTGCGTTAGTGGTTGCGTTTTGATTTGGTTCGTTTTTGTTCTTTCTTTTTTCGTTTTTGTTTGTGTTTTTTTTTGTTTGGGTTTGTATTTGTGTTTTTGGTTGGTTTTGCGTTTGGATTTGGTTTGTTTTCGTTCTTTCTTTTTTCGTTTTTGTTTGTGTTTTTTTGTTTGGGTTTGTATTTGTGTTTTTGGTTGGTTTTGCGTTTGGATTTGGTTTGTTTTCGTTTGCTTTTTCGTTTTTTTTTTTTTTTTTTTTTTTTGGTATTGGTGTTTGTGGTTGGGTTTGTTGTTAGGTTTTTGTTTTCGTTTGCTTTTTTGTTTGTTTTTTCTTTGTGTTTGTATTGGTGTTTGTGGTTGTGGTTGGGTTTGTTGTTAGGTTTTTGTTTTCGTTTGTATTTGTAATTGTGTTAGCGTTATGTTTGCGTTTTGTTGTTTTGGTTGGTTGTGGTTTGGGTGGGCAATGCCGGGTTTATGATGATTACTAAACACACAGGTAATGGTCGTTAACAGAAAGGTTTTTCACAGAAGCCAGAGCAGGGCCTGGCCGGGACGGCTAGTATTTATATATATATATATATATATATATATATATATATATATATATATATATATATATATATATATATATATATATATATATATATATATATATAGGTATAGTCTCTTCATGGGGACCATGCAGGACAAAACTTAAACGCACGCCGTTACTCCCCCGCTCTCCAGGCAAATCGTTACCACCCCCACCAATCTGGTGAGCTTTGGTTCACGAAGAATGTTTACAATCGTAGAGCCGGGTTACTGGGGTTAGTGACGACTATTAGGGGCAGATAATTAAGTAAACGACTGCTTTCAACAGGGGGGGAGGGGGGGGGCGGTAGGGGATAGTGTTGAATTCACAAATTATGAACTGCTGATAAGCAGAAAATAAAACAACTAGATAGCGGCGTATGCTACGTCGCGGGTCAGCTCGTACTGAATAAACCTACAAAGACCTCTGAAACCAACAAGTTGTTCATCTACAGTTATGTTCTCTCCAGGAACATAATACCTTGGCAGGTTGCTATGGAACAATTCCCAAATATCCCTTATGGGAGCAAAGACTAACTGATCTAGTGTCCTTGTCGAACGAATGTGACTCAGAAGGATGCTGAATCTCTTCATAAGCTGCTCTTAAACGTGGATTTCCAGAGCACCAGTGTGGAGTAAGCATCCTAAAAGCATTCATTTCAGTTGCATCAGTTCTCTGCCATTTGTCTTGTCTTTCTTTCTCTCTTTCCCTGTTGCTGAAATCAACAATTTTCCGTATTATATTTTCATTCATGTACAGAAGGAGTGCTTCTGTGAGGGAAACCACATGACCAGTGAAGGGTGTTTGGTTCTTAGGCAGTTTGGGTACATTTTTTTTGGGAATGCGTACTTCAGGCAGTGGTCTTGAGTGCCACACTATCGATTTGTCTTTCTCGAGTATTTTGTTTTCTCCTGCTTCATCGTGTCGCTCACCATCAGCTTGATTTGTTTCTATATGGTTATGACTGTCAGCATTTGGCACATTGTTGATATATGCAGGTGCCAGTTCAGTGTGAACAGAGTCATCAACATCAGAGCTACTTGTAGTGGAACCAGTAGGGTCTTTAGGTACTGATGGCTGCCACCCAGTTACCAGGAATCAGAAGGTTTACTACATATCTATTAAAAGGAGCATATGGGCATCCATTAATGACTATTTAAAAAATGGGAAATAAGTCATGGAAGTGGTTTGAAGGTTTGCCTATCTTTCTCACTACAATTCAAGTATATATATTTTTTTCTTTTACGCAACAGCATGTGTTAGCTACTATAGAACATCACTACTGAAATAGATGTTTTTTTTTTTTTTTACAAAACTACTATCAAGATACCAGTGGTGGAACTTTAAAAGGCTAAGTTGTTGGGGTGCTAGTTTGTCTATACTACCACCACTGAGAGGACAGCTTACTTGTTGGGGCGCTAGTTTGTACACACTACCACTGCCATGATGTCTGAGGCGTCACGGCCACCGGCAGAGGCCCCCTAATGCGGCGAGACTGATGATTCAAGTAGTACACCTATGCCCCTGTGCAGGACACAAATATTCAATAAGCAGATCCATGGCGCTTAGATAGCCGCTGGGGATCTTGTGGCACTTAACTACACATTTTTGTAGGAAGCCGTCATTAAATATTTTAAAAATATTTTTTTAAATTTTTAAACAAGTGTTAGGTCTATAACAAAACCATTGCGGAAGTGAACTCAAAAACTTCCTAATTTATTTTTTTTTTGCGATAGCATGAGAAGGGTGTAGTACAGAGGCATAGCGACCCTTCTCGGCGCCCGGGGACAAACTTTTCGATTTGCATCCCCCCTTAAGATTTCTATTTGCACCCCCTCAACCTTTCAATTTATTTTTCCAACCCATTTTGGCGCCCCCTAAGGTCGCGCCTGGGGACATTTGTCCCCCCCCCCCCCCCCCGCTACTGGTGTAGTAGTGCATAAAAGTCAGGAGATAGTAACAAAAGGGACAACACAGCGCCGGTGTGCTTCTATACATCAGTACTGAAGTTGGGATGGCCTCAACTACTTTTCCTTAAGCCTATAGAGAAACACTAAAGAGAGATAATTCATATATGCATGTTTAATATCACATTTTTTTTTTGTAAAACAAAAAGAAGTAAATGTACATAAAACCGAAATTATTGTAATTATATTTTTTTTATAATTTGTAGAATACAGGAGACTACACAATCGTAGTTCTACCTATACAACTAATGAACATTTTACATTATATAATATATTGTGAGCCCCTAACTAACGCTATAAAGAAGTAAAAGTCGTCTTAATATCTAGCGGCCTCTCGCGCAATGGACTTTATTTTTTCAACAGAATTTAGCAGACAACAGCTTGTGTTTGACTGTAAGTGTAAGTTTAAAAACAAAAGGGAAACGAATATACAACAGCGTTGGATAGCGTCTATAGAATTAGAATAAAGATAATCCAACCGCAGCTACAGTATTCTTTTTACAAAACAACCATCAAGTCAAAAATGCAAGAAAATTAATTTTTTTAACTATAAAAAATTGATTATGGTCAGCCTGCCCCCCCCCCCCCCACACCCCCCCATTGCGGGATCTGGCGGTATTGTAGTTCCACCCCTGGTTCTTTGCACCCCCCCTCAACCTTTCAATTTATTTTTCCAACCCATTTTGGCGCCCCCTAAGGTCGTCCCCCCCCCCTACGCTACTGCCTGGTTTTATAACATAAGATCTACATCTAAGTTCAATTTTCATCATTGAGCGCTGAGGCTTTTATTTTTTTAATATAGCCTTGTCATAATTTTTTTGTGTGTGAATATAATGAAAGCACCTGAGAATTATTTTACGTTAAATAAACCATAATTTGAAAGATAAATGGAAATTATTTTCCATATGAAAATCATAGTGTGAGCTAGGTTGATGGGTAGTGTGCACTCTTTGACAAATTGTGACTACAGAGAGAGAGGGGGGGGGGGAAAGAGAGGAAGAGAGGGTTGGATTTTGCAGAGTTTACATTGTATAGTTATGTTCATAACTCTATTATACACAACAACTCAGCACAACAAACCTTTATACCTATGTAATTTACAAATTAACACATGTTTAATGAATTTTAAAAATGCACTTATAATTACAGATCCACTAAAGGAGTAATGCATTTTATAAAAGTCTCGTCAAAAAGTAGGTTCACTTTAAATACAGTTATGACTTTGGTAAAAACATAATTCCTAGAGACTGACATCAACTGGTTCATTAGAAACATAAACCTATTTTAATGATTGGATAGTTTGAATAACTGAGGTAAAACATTGTCAAATATTAAACACTCACTGTTTATTTTATTCAAGTTAAGACATTTTAAAAGTAAAAGGTAAAATTAACTCAGTAGAAAGCTTCTCATTCATTGTGGTGTTTTCTTCCAACAGCTTTTTATTCTCTGCCTTCAGTGAGGCATTTTCTGCTTTCAGCTCCTCCATTTCAATGTTATTTAACTGCACATTTATTAGCAAGTTGTGATGCATATCAGAAATTTCTTGTAATTTTGACATCAACTTCTCATTTTCTCTGGATGTGCTCAGTAAAGCCTCCTGCAGCTTTTGTATTCTTGGGAGACTTATTGGAAGGCAGCGCAATTTTTGTCTAAGGTTTTTAATTGTCTTTTTACTCTGAAGCAATTCTTTGTTAATCTTTGGACACTTAGAACAGCTGGGTTTTATTCTTAGACCATATTTACTTTCTCCAATTATGGTCATCTGTTTATCAGCAGAAGAACTTGGATCAACAGAACATTTGAAGAAACTTTGAATGGCTAATGAATTTTGTTTTTTAGTGTCTTTTACTTCATTAGATGTATTGAAACTGAAAGGAGTATTTAACAGCTCCACAAGTTTATGCCAGTTAATTATTTGTTTCCTTCTTAAACACAGAACTTTTTTCATTAGGTGTGAAACTGAAACTATAAACCTTTTCAGAATTACTTTATTCTTAATATCAAAGAGAGCTTGTCTCTCTACTATTTGTTTACACACTAAACTCCGGTTTTTCACGATGGAGTAATGAATGCTGCGAACAATATACCCAGTCAGTAGAGGATCTGTAGGTTCTGTGAAACAGTCGAGTAGAGAGTTGTAGTTTCCAACCACAAGTCCTTTTTCTTTTACTCTGTGTATTAAACAAGTTTTTAAAAAATGTAATGAATTAATATGCATATTGAAACAGTTTGTTCCCTTTTATGACTTTTCTAAGTAAATAAATTATGTTGCTATCAATGTTTGTTGCTAATAGCTTAAAAAAAAACTAGAGACCTAGGCAATGTTGACATTCAATTGTATAAATCATAGGGACAAATTATTCCCAGAATGTGTACAAGTATAGTATTAGTTTCAAGGGATGGCAAGGTTGGATGGTAAAGCGCATGACAGCTAACCATTATATCACAAGTTTGGATCCAGGGCTCGATGGCTAACTGACACATATTAAGGAAAGTAGAGCATCGTGCAGAAGTAACAAAAAAGTGAACTCTACTTCACCAACCAAATGGATTATCCGGTTCAAGGATAACTTTTAGATTCAGATTTTTTTTTATAAATGTAGGTCTTTTACAAAGACCAAACATGTGATGCATTAAAAATCTTTTAAATGTCACAGAACGAAATCATTTGTGGAAAATCACATAACAAAAATAATGGTGATCCTGATTTTAGTTAGCAATTCAATTCAAAGATGTTCATGCAAAAGTGATTCAGCAAAAAAAAAAAAAAAGAAAAACATCAAGGTAACGTGTCTGGTACATATTCACAAATACAAATGTAGTTTCAAATTCTAAAAAATAGCACATGTATTAAGCTCCCGCTGTATAAACCTAGACTGGTGGTTAAGCCCCTCAATAAGCTTGTGATAAAGATGTACAGATGCAGCGATTGGGGTGGTGACAAAAGGGGAGTGCCTGCTCTTGAAGGTGCTGCCTACTCCGTAAGAGCACAATTAATGAAACTTATATTAAGCAAATTATAGTTCTGGATCAGTTATGTCACTTTAAAACTCACATTCAACAAAAAATGGTCAAATGGAAGAACATTTGACTGCTAACCTGAAAGTCTCGAGTTCAGGTTCCTAGCTAGAATAACTTAGTCCACTCAATTTGGTCAGTCATCTAGCCTGTTTTTTTAAATGTAAAATAGCCCACAGACGTAATTGACTACCTAGAAAATAAATAGCAATTATTGTCCATATAAGAAACACAATCTGAGCAGGTTTGTATTTTGATAGTGTAGTTTCCACTCTTCTGATAAAGTGTAACTAGAGAGGGGTGGATTTAGAAGTGGTTACATTTAGTTATGCCCAAAATACTGTCACCTATAATCATAAGCTATACTATAATAAATCTTACTACAACAACCGTTCCCTCAAAAAATATGTTAAAATGACTGCAAGGACAATGCAAAAAAAATATATATTATATAAATATAAAAATTAATTAAACATGTTTATAAAAAATATTTATTTATAATTTTTTTTACACATAGAGATCAACAATAGGGGTGGTGTATGTCATTTGAAAAGTCAGTTTATTCTATCTATAGTAATGACTTGGGTAAAGGTAATGATTCCTAGAGCTGAAGACACTTTACAGGTCTTACTTACTATAAAAAGTAATAGGATAATCTGAATAACTGAGGAAATACACTCAACATTGTCAAATATTAAACACTCACTGTTTATTTTAATCAAGTTAAGACATTTTAAAAGTAAAAGGTAAAATTAACTCAGTAGAAAGCTTCTCATTCATTGTGGTGTTTTCTTCAACCAGCTTTTTATTCTCGGCCTTCAGTGAGGCATTTTCTGCTTTCAGCTCCTCCATTTCAATGTTATTTAACTGCACATTTATTAGCAAGTTGTGATGCATATCAGAAATTTCTTGTAATTTTGACATCAACTTCTCATTTTCTCTGGATGTGCTCAGTAAAGCCTCCTGCAGCTTTTGTATTCTTGGGAGACTTATTGGAAGGCAGCGCAATTTTTGTCTAAGGTTTTTAATTGTCTTTTTACTCTGAAGCAATTCTTTGTTAATCTTTGGACACTTAGAACAGCTGGGTTTTATTCTTAGACCATATTTACTTTCTCCATTTGTGATCATCTGTTTACCAGCAGAAGAACTTGGATCAACACAACATTTGAAGAAACTTTGAACGGCTAATGAATTTTGTTTTTTAGTGTATTTTTCATTAGATTTATTGAAACGGAAAGGAGTATTGAACAGCTCCACAAGTCTTTGCCAGTTAGATATTATATTCTTTCTTAATTGTTTGACAGTTTTTATTAGTTTAAAAACAGTTGCAAAAAATCTTTTCCAAATTACTGAGTTATTTATATCACAGAGGTTATGTCTCTCTGCTAATTGTTTGAACAGTGAAGAAATACTTTTTGCCTTAGAGAATTTCACACTGTGAAGAAAATAACCATTTAGTAGAGGCTCAGTAGGCTCTGAGAAACAATCAAGTAAAGTTTCATATTTTCCAACCACAAGGCCTTGTTCCTTCACCCTGTTATAAGATTTTAAAAATATGTTATGAATAAGTGACATCCATGTATTATGTAATGCAATTAGTAATAATAAGTCCTGTTGTCTTCCATACTGTTTCTTCCCCCCCCCCCCATCCTCAAAGAAAAGATGCTATTCAACATTCCACTTTCTCCTTCCTACATTTATTTCTTTATTTCTCCTGAAATAATAATAGTTTTAGCCAAGTTAACATGCTTTCATTCTTTTTTTTTTGTTCTCTAACAATACAAAGTACATGGTGTCACTTTTTTTAAACTTTACCTTTTCTGTGTAATGATAATCTCTTAACAAATCTCAATTTCCACTCCCCCTAGATGTATGATGTTATTGATGTCAACAGCCCAAAATACATTCAATATTGTGCACAGAGACATGATTAATCAAAAGTTTTTTAAAATGACTTTTCTCTAAACTGGATTAATTTGTTTTCATTATTTTTAGTACATCAACACAATTTAAGAAAATAATTGACTTAAGCACGCTGTTCAGTAATATAATAGGTCGTGTTGGCATAAATCATAGGGGAAAATTATTAAAAAATGCATGCAAGTAGGCCTATAGCATAAGTTTCCAAATTTTTAAAATGTATTACAATCAACAAACAAATATTTTCTGGAATATTATATCACAAAATTGATGGTGATTATAATGAATTATAAATGATAGCCAATCAAAGCTTGTCATACAAAAAAGATTCAGCAAAAAAAAAAAAAAAAAAAAAACAAAAACAACAAAGGTAATATGTCAGGTTTATGCAAATAGCCAAGTAGCATTAATTAAATAAAAAATGTGCAAAGTTTACAACAGAAGTTCTTAGACTACTTTATTTCTGAATACATTTTCTAGCTTTAATTTTATAATTATTTTTTGGTGCATGGCTAATCAGAAAGTAAAGAGCCTTCTAGGTCCCTATGTCATTGTCTATGATAAAAATCTTTAGAAGCAAACTGGGCAACTGACATTTGATTAAAGTAGAATTGCTACAGGTTGAAAAAACTTACTTTGAGCAGCTGTCCTCTGTATGTTGAAGCAAATTTCTAGAATCTGTTAAAACAAAAAAACATATAGGATATATATTATATAATATAGATCTAGATCTAAGTCCTGTCCATCTAAAGCTGTATAGTAAAATAGTATACTATTGCAATGATTTTGATATAAAAAAATTATTTTGGTACAGAAAGTAGGAATAAGATCATTTTTTTAAAATAGTAAAGTAATATAATATAATAGATCTTTGATTCTATAATCAATCTACAATTAATTAATTAATTACCTTCAGTCATTGCAACAAGCTCTCTGTTTTCAGTTGCAGCCATCTCTTCATCAATGGTAAAACTTTTTTCATGCATCACACATTGACTATTTTCTGGTAAAGAACTCTCATCTAAATAATCTAATTCTAACAGATCTAATGTCTGAGGCCAGCTAGATCTAGATCTAGTGCTAGATCTAGTATTTATCTCATCCTCCATTACCACAATAAAGTCATTTTCCTCACTAGTGACACTAGAATTAGAAGGCCCCTCCAAATAGACCTCCATTTTCTAATAGATCTAGAATCTAGATCTAGATCTAGGCCTAATTAACTAATTATTAAAGTAATTAAATTTTATTAAATAGATCTAGTAGTATACACTATCTTAAGGAATCGGTTAGTTATTCATTATAGATCTAGATCTAGATCTACATATGTCATATAATCTAGAAAGAATCTAGATCTAGATCTAGAACATAGGCAAAAAATTTACTTCAAACAGAAGTGTTTGAGGGGAAGATTTGATAAACTACAGCGACCATGTCCATATGTATATTAGAGTGGTTTCCCTTGAAATTCTAAAAGTAACTGAACATCTGAGTACCCCCAAAACAAAATAACCTTTCACCTTCTTATCTTACTCATTACTCAGCCGATCCTACACTATTCTCAACGAGACTGTCGTTGAGTGGCTTATCAACAGTGTCGGTATATAATAACGCTATAGATTTTTTCTCATTTGATTCTGTCGTTGAGACTCTAATTATAGTTATAAACTGTAAAAACTAGCTAACGGAATAAAACCATTTCGATTAATTAATCGCTTAAAATATTTAATATAAGAAAAATTAAACAACCATTCATTTTACAGAGCTAATAATAATTAATATTATAAAAAATGTATCTTCTGTCTTTAAAATTGAAAATAAAATTATTTTTAGCAATATAAATTAATACAGTGGATTGCTGAATTTAATTGTGACCATAGTTATGATTAATTTTAGAGATTGTATGATTAATTTATACACAATTTAGAATTACAGAATATTGATTATTCGGTATAGAAAACATTAGGGTAGAGATTACTAAACGATATAATATAGGATTATGTAATATAGAATATATTAGTATATTATTATAGAATCTAGGCTATACAACAAGTAATACATGATATGATTGCACAATAGAAAAAATACATAATATAAAGGCCCATTTTTTAATCGAATTTAAGACTCATTTCGTTTATAAAATTAGTTATTACAAAAAAAAAATTGCAGAATACGTAATAGCTATTTTTATCGAATTTATACATAGAATGACTATATAATCTTAAGAACATGATTATGTAGTGGCGTAGGTACAAGGTGTGCCAAGGGGCTATACCCCCCCCCCCGATATATATATATATATATATATATATATATATATATATATATATATATATATATATATATATATATATATATATATATATATATATATATATATATATACATATACATATACATATTTACTGTACTCAAGTAGTACCCCTAACCAGAGGCGTCACAAGGTTGGGGGGGGGGGCGGGGCTGAGGACTGCGCAAGGTGGCAAAATTTCGGGGGTGACACCATGGCGAAAAATAGCAAAATATATAGAAGAAGTAAGCATTTTGCCAGTTCAATAAATGACTAATGAGAGTTAACTGTACTAATAACTGACTGCAGATAAAAAAAATATACAATTAACTGTGCACGTTTAAAAACTATCATTCAGGGGGGGGGGGGGGGTGAGGGGAGATGACACAAACTGCAAAATGTACAGGTGAATACATGCTTGTTGAATTTTTGGATAACAGATTTGCTAAGCGACGACCGGAGAGAGGCTGATACCAAAATCTAATAATTTACGATGAAAACGATGCTTTTTTTCACATGAATTAATAGGTGGATTATGTGCAAAATTTGACGCCATTTGGGAAAATGGGAAGTCACCAAATGTAGCTATATATATATATATATATATATATATATATATATATATATATATATATATATATATATATATATATATATATATATATATATATATATATGCATATCTAGAATTATTTATATTTCGCTCTATGTATATATATAATGAAGTTTTGCTTGTTTGTTTGTGGGTTTGTTTATGTCCTCTATGCAGCACTACACCTTTCATCCTATGACCATGCAACTTAAGTTAAGAATACCACTGGATATATTTCACAAGCACGGTGCCCCAGCAGGGCGCGAATCGATTCTATATATAGATCCCTATATAGGGTATATATACGTAAAAGTAGATTGCGGTTTAATCCCGTTCATCCGCTCGCCATAAAACTTCAGGGGAGGTTATTTTTTTTTTATTTTAACAGGGCGGCGTTTCTGGAGGGTGCAATTTTTCTCTACACAGTTTGTAAAAAACAAAACGGATGCTGTTTGACATCGTTTATCTGAGTGCCGTTAAACTTTCGAGAGTTAATGAAAACACTCACGAGAAGGTTTCTGCGAAAACAAAAATTAAAATTTATTATGGGCGTTTCCCTGGAGGGTGCGATTTTTGTTAATAAGCGGCTTGGCGCCTGAAAATCCAGGGCGGCGATATTAAAACTGCATGGGGGCTAAGGTAAAAAAGCAACAACAGGCGCAGCCGCCGGCGCCCCGGATATTACGTAACCCGAAGCGCCCCGTGCTACCATGTGAACACTATGACGCCTACGTTCGTTTTTTTTTTTTAAATTTATACACTAAAGACACGATGGGCAACAATAATTTTTGACTATATGGAATCAGGCGCGTCTGCCGGCTCCCCGGCAGGAAGCGATTTGGCGCCCTGAGATATCCTAAGGTTGTGTTAAAGAGCACTCTACAATATTGACCCTGTGGCACACGACATTCGATGACAATTCGTTTGACCCGATGCGCCACTGGCTTCGGGAGGAACACTATGAGTTTTAAAAGAGCGCTCTACAGTAGGGAAATTTTTTGTCTACTGCACCACTGGCGTGTGGTCTAGCGCCCCTGTGTGGGTCCCTCATAAACACTATTGCGCCTACGTTCGTTTTAAAGAGTGCGATACATTATGGATACAATGGGCTACTGTGTGCGGTAGAATTTGCGCCTCAACAACTATGATGAAAGCAATATAACACCGGCTTTGATTACATTTAAATTGTTTAGATTTAGAAATCAATGTCAAGCGTAAAAAAATACGTGATTGCTAATGTAATTATGGAATCCTCTTAAAATATTGCGTCAGTCTGTCTTCTGAGACCGCAGCAACGCGCGGGACGGGTTCGCTGGTTTAATATATATTTCTTCTATATAAATAATTCTCTTCATGGATACCATAGAAAACACCAAGCTGTAAGCGCCCCTAGCAGCCCCCTCTCTTTCTCTCTATCCCTACCACCCCCATCCCTACATGGTCTAGTGAGCTGTGGTTCAAGCTAAATGTTTACAATCGTAGAGCCGGGTTTAGTGACAGCTATTAGGGGCAGATAATTTAGTTTGAAACGATTTTAAACTTAGTGGAGGTAACTCAGAGGGGGCTGCTTTCACGAGGAGTGGGGGGGGGGGTTAGGATTTTTGGGAAAGGAGGGTGGGGAGGGGGGGTTATCGTCCTTAACGAGCTACTGATAGTGTTTTAAAGCAAATATTTTCAGTGGCAGCATTGTTACTGTCAAATTCACAAATTATGAATTACAGAAAAGTAGAAAATGAAACAACAAAATAGCGGCGTATGATAGCGGCTCGTAAAATATAAAACACAATGTAAATACCTTTGTTATACCTACGGAAAATAATAATATGTAACATGGATTCCTGAAATTTTGCGCTGCTTTAATTTTTAACGTTGGGATCCTCCATCGACATCCATACTCTCCTTTAGTATGTTCAGGCTTTTTTTTTTCATTTATGGGAAGGGATGATCGGAAAGTGTGACGACACATTTTTGCTTTCATCCGTTATTTCGGGCTTTAAAAGATTGCTTTTGGTATTAATTCATTTATTAACTCAATGTTTATCGAGGTCAGTACATATTATAATAAACCGGGAGTGATCTCCCCTAAACTTTCTCGAATATTCTAATATAACACTACGGGGAATGGCAACTCGGGATATAGACATGATTTTTAATCCATTTTAAATACTTAAACTTTTTAAAATAGAATAAAACCTCGTAGAAAAAAGAATTGCACACCAAGTGAACGTCAAATAAAGATGTGCATAATAGTGCGCAACATTATTAGTACTTTATAAATTTACGTGCGATTTTTGAGAAATCGGAAATAGCGTAAATTAGTACTTCCTGTCAACGGAAATCACTCAAAATTTGACAGAAGGTAGAGAATTAGATCTTTTGCTTACATGTGAAAATTTTCATTTATCTATCTGCAATAGTACTCAAGTTATAGGCTTTTGAAAAATTCAAAGTAGAAAAAGTACCACTTTCGGTTATCGGAAATCACTCAAAAGTTTATACGGATCTATGATTTTGATAAAATACTTATATATGAAATTTCATCAACCTAGCTGTAACGGTACTCAAGTAATCGTGTTTACACACAGACACACACAGACACAGACATACGGACAAGATTGCAAAATTATGTTTTTCCGTATCAGTGAGGTGTAAAACGTCGAGATTTGTAAAAAAAAATCTCGATTTTTTTTTTGCACGATTACAAGACTTTCTCTATACTTCGTATATACGAGAAAGTAAAAATACAGTTTCAGGGGAACGGCGGAGGGGGTTATGTGTTGAGGTGTAGTGTTTTTAAAGAGAGTGGTGGGGGGGGGGGAGCGAAGATCTGGCTTTTTGTGAAAATTTGTTACAATTAGAGAAGGGGGGTTTGGTGCAAAATCGTCTGAAGAGTGAGTCGTGGTTAATGGGTGACCACTTTATGATTGTATATTGACGTCACCATTATTTTGGGCGGTGGCTTTATGTGACGATATGTAACGAGAAAAAAGAGGGTTGAGTTAATGGCGTAGCATTTATTTTGCATTTTTTAAGGATACAAATAATAAAAACACTGCTTATTTTGTTTTACATGTGTGACGACATTGTGTTAACCAAATGTATTGAATAGTAGGACTTACAGATTATTAGTTCTCTCCCCCCCCCCTGAAGCAATTACCCCCTGTCATTTACCCCCCGCCAAGGAGGACATCTCCCCCCCCCCCCACACGCACACACCTCTTAAGGTACAGCTGGGGTTAGGGTTATGGTTAGGGTTACGGCTAGGGTTAGCGTTAGGGCTAGGGTTAGAGTTAGC